TTGCTTCACTTGCCTCACAATACAATGACATGCCTTATTTATAGGCATAGTCTCACACATAAGTTACATTTATACTTAAATGATAGATAGTGGACAATAAACCATATGAATATGAGTGGAGGGAGTTACAAGATTAAAGGCATAGTGGAAAGGTAATGGAGTAGTGAAAGATTAATGCCTAGTGAAAGTAGTGGGAGTTGATAATGAAGTTGAGAGGAAGAGGAGGAGATGAACATCCATATATTATAATATTCATAACAGGTTTTATGATTTTCTCTTTTTCCCTAAACTCGCGACGCATTTAAAACAATGTTAATAAATTGTTAATACTAGCCCGCAAGCAGCAAAGACGAGGGGTGAAATTAAAGTTTCTTCGGTTCGATTAATGATAAGCATGTGATCTTATTTATAAATTACTTTCAATATGTTTTACATAGACTAAAAAAAAATTTTAAACTTTATTAACTCTTATTTAAAATTTAATAACTTTTTAATTTTATTTCAATTTAATATACACTATACCTCATATAAACAAAGTCAATATAATAATAAATAAATAGTAAAATTACATATCTATACAAAAAATTTCTCTCAATACTCTATATATAGGACCAAATAGGACAAAAAAGTATGTTATTAGGTTTGTGTTGGATCATGTGCTTGAAATTATATAGTATATCTGCCCTTCCTAACCACCAAAAACCGTAAAATTCCGGAAGATAAAACAAAAATATGCTCATGTATTAGAGTTATTCATATATTTTATTTTTCTTATTTATAATTAATTTAATTTATTGTTTTACAAGAACCGTAGAAGTTTGATTCACTGCAAAAACAAAAACTGTCAACAATGATTTTTGGAGTGACTTTTGATATGCATATCACCGCTGCTGACAGTTACATTTTTAATGTTGACTATACAGTCTCGTCATTAAACTAAAAGTTTGACTTTCTGTTAGCTAGAATTAAGATTTTAAAATAATTGTTTCATCTTGTTAAAAAATCTCCAAATAAGTGCATAAAAAGGCATTTACGCTCCAAAAATATCTATGAATAAAGTTGAATAAGAAGAAGATAAAAGAAGTACCCAAATTAAATTCATCATGATGCTTTAACTATAAGGTGATAATGAGACATTAACTAGATCACCTATATCTTTTTTTTACTCCTCCGATCTTTAATATAGAACCTAATTATTAAGTTAACTTTTATCTTAAATATAAGACATATTTATCATATTTACTAATTTTTTTTCTAAATTACCTCTATGAATACTCCCTCAATCATAATCAACTAAGTGAAAAAGGAAAGATATTAAGAAAGATGATTATGGTGTTTTAGAAAAAACATGTCATATTTCTTATAACTAATTAACTTACCTAACTTTCTTAGTTTAATCAAATTAGTCAAATAGATTTTATATTAAGAACTGAAGGAGTTATTTTTAAGTGTTGTATAGATGTCATGGTAATTTATAACCATTTTTAAAATACCGAACATATTTATTATTTCATGCGAACGTGGCTTTATTCTCTTTTTCCCCTCCTCCCTTTTTAGACTGGGTATCGGTCGTCCATCTTTAAATAGAAGCTTAGCTAGGAACAAGCCCTCCCTATAAAACTATTTTAATTATATAAGTTGTATAATATATGTGTCACAATATTTATAATTAGATTAGCAACCAGGGAGATCTTTATCTTTATTTTCATTAAAAAAAATCAGGGAGATCTTTATATCGATAAGAAAAAATGAGATGTATGTGTGTCTGTATGAACTACGTACATTCTCATCAATTTAGTATATATTCGTTCGATAGTCTTTCAATATTTCTCCGTATCATATTTCAATTTCAAAAAGTTTTCAATGCTGGGCGAATAATTTTTTTTAAAAAAATTCTGCTTCACATGGCAAAAATATTTAGTTTGAAAATAATATTGTATACACATATTTCTTATAGATGGGCATTAATTTAATAATGAAATCTTTTTGCATATATATTGCCTCAAAATTCACTTCAATAGTTCAATCCCTCAATTAATTTAGTCAATTTTGATTTAGCCCTTCAATTTCATTTCAAGTTAATTTGGCCTACACAATCCAATATATTACATATGAACTTATTTATTCCTGTCTCCTAGTCTTGTTCAGTTCTAATTCAACACCTTTGAATTTTCTTTTTTGCCTCTTTATTATTTTGTTTTAGTTTAAGCCTTAATTTTGGAAATCAAACAAGTTTTTGCTTTTATTTTTGAGCTTCTTTACCAATGTAAGCCCCAAAGATGTAGTAATTTTCATGTAAAGTATTAATTTTGTCTCTTAATTATTACTTAACAGAGAGTCAATACCTAAGGCCTAACCAATTATTCATCTATGTAATACTACCTCCAGTTTTTAATATAAGACCCAATTTGACTTTTATTTTGGTCCTAAATATAAGACCCCAATCCACTTTGTTTCTCATATTTACTCAATTTTTTTCAAGATAATCCTTCTAATAATTATAGTTCTAGTTAATACACTTGATTAGTAAGAATATTTTAGGAAAGACAACAGCTATTTAGGACAAATAACTAACTCAACTTACTTCCTTAATCTCTTCAAATTAGTCAACTGACTCTTATAATTAGGACCAGAGGTAGTATTAAAGTTATTAAAAAAATTGCATCAGTTTTAATTAAGTCATGAATGATATGATGTTAACTTAATCTTCATCCAACATTCATCTATGTAATATTAAAGTTATATAACTATAATGTAATTTACTTTGCTCTTATAGTTGTTTTCCCCTTTATTTTAGTGTTCCACACCTAATTTGTTTAATTTATGGGTGGATGTTATTATTTTTAACTAATATGTTTTGTCCCCCCCCCCCCCAAAAGGGAAATTGTATGGAGATCAGATTAGGAAATGGGTTATATGATTTGTAACTCATGTTGATAGCAAGCAGCTGGATTCATATATTTAAAGTATTTTAATGAGATAATATTTGAAGCGAAAAATTCGAATAATATATAAAAATTATTAAGGCTCAAACTAATTAAAATAAAACAATAGTGGCAATAAACTAAAATAAAATAGAAAGGATATGATAAATTTACAATATGATATCACCAATAAATTACTAGTTGAGATGGTAAGCGGTTTTATTCTGATCTGTAAAAAAGAAAAACATAAATTTTGAATGCTGAGAAGCAGTTTAACCTACACACAAAGTAATATGACCTGTGTAAAATTACATCCAATATGTAATGAAAATTTCCAGGCAAAAAATGTTACTACCTCCTGTATTTAATATAAGATTTCGTTTGACTTTTATTTTGATTCTAATATAAGATACCAATCTATCTTGTCTCTCATATTTATATATATTTTTTCTCAAGATAATCCTCCTGATAATGGTAGTTCTAACCAATATACTTAATTAGTGATAATATTTTGAGAAAGACAATACCTATTTGTTACAAATAACAATTTAATTTATTTTTTTAATTTACTTAAATTAGTTAACTGATTTTTATAATTAGGATCGGAGGCAGTGTTGAAATTTTAAAACACCCACGATCTAAACGTGGACTTCGTGACCCTCATATATGAACAGATCAATAAGGCCCGCTAACCAGTATTCCGTAGCCCGTCTCAACTCTCACGACTTCCCAGTTGCTTTTCCAAAAAGATTCTTACACAAACCCCTCCCCCACTTCAAATTTCACACTAAATACAAGGAATGGAAGAATTTGACCAATAGTCTCCAAAGATTACGGACTCAAATCTCATTATTAGTATGATGACTTTCTTTCTCAACACAAATACCTTCCTATTAAAAGTAATTTTATTCAAAATACTATCAGATATTAAATATAGGAATTTTTTCCAATTCAAATTTTAATTTGCCATCTTATGAGAAATTAGCCTTTCGTTGAACCCAACTTTGATGGTATTGATACGATGACTTTATTAATAGGTGTGTTATTTGTAAATATATTTACACAAACATTTGTTAAGTTCATAAACATGTCCTAATCCTGAAATTAAACTCCCGATCGGACATAACATTACCTAAACATTTTCAGTATAATTAATATGGAGTTATAAAAAAAAAATCACAAAAGATACATGTCTATATTTGCGGACGCGTGTTGTACCATGCACGATTACTCGGCATGTATATGGAGACAGACAAAAGGTAATTAATTGATCGACTGATTAAACTAACATAGACTGATATTTGAATAGGAGTCCCATGATTCGATAAGCAAATTTAAACACACACGCACATCCTTAATATAAGATTCAACTAATTTAATAGATTAAAAAGGTTTGTTAAGTTAGTTATTTGTAATAAATATGTATTGTATTCCTTATAAGACCATTTTTTGATCATATGTATTAGCTAGAATTACTTCTCCGGTCCTAAATATAAGACCATTATATTAGTGTGTATAAAGGGGCTTATATTTAGGATTGGAGGAGTATTATTTAATGAAACATTTAACATGTACAACTACTTTGAAAAAAATTGATAAATAAAAGAGATAAATGAATTAAAATTTTATATTTAAGATCAAATTAAATATCAAATTAGTTCTTATATTAAATACCGAAAATAATATAATATAAGCATGTATGTAACAAATATTGTAGGATAAAAATCAGTGCCCCCAAGGCCCCAACCAAACTGTATAACGTAACGGTAGCTGAGGGAGCTGTGCTGAATCCCATTTACAGACACCCCGTCTAACAGTCAACCCCAGCTGCCCTATCTGTCTCCCACCATACTATTTCATATATATGTGTGTGTATATTATAACTACCATACCAATAATTATTAATGTTAACAATAAATATGAGATAGTTAAAAAAGTGCTAACAGGAAAATGATTAAAGAAATCAGAGGCGAGTTCCTTCCGTTTGTTTTTATATTCTTTAATCGTTATCCTTTAATTGGGGAAGCAGTCCCTACATCTCTCTCTCTCTCTCTATATCCCCACAAACAAATTTCATTTCATTTCGTCCTTCTCTTCCTCTCAAATCCCTCGCTCCTTCCTCTTAGCTAAACCTGAATTCTATTCCCTCTATGGCCATCTAGCATGTCCAACGATCATCAATACTACTCTCTCTCCCCTGCTCTCTCCCTCAGCCTTGTAAAATCCCTCCTCCTCCTCCTCCTCCTTCTTCCTTCCCCACCACACACACACACTCTTAGATGTCTTTTATATATATATATATATATATGGTTCGAATTGGATTCTGTGTAATTAATTCAGTAGGGTTTTATGTTTCTCTTTTTTCTGATTGTGTTTTTATTTGATTTGGATTTGGAAGGCGGGAATCTTTCGCCGTGATGAGGTGGTGGCGCCGTCGAGGAACGCTGACACGGAAGACGCCGGGGAGGAGGGCAGCGGAGGCGGGCGCCAAGACAACACTACTACTGTTCATGAGATTAGCAGCGAGAATTCTGGGCTGATCGGGAGATCGTCGAGATCGGAAGACGATGGCGGCTTCGACGTCGAAGAAGGCGAGCATGAAGGCGGCGACGATGTTGAAGGTGACGACGACGGAGAGAAGAACAGGAACAAGAAGAAGAAGAGGAAGAAATATCACAGGCACACTGCTGAGCAGATCAGAGAAATGGAAATGTACGTAAATATTAAATTAATGATAACTCTTCCATTTGTATATAGCTTCATAGTAATTTGCATGCTCTCGTACTGCTGAGATTTCAAAATAAGTTAGCCTTTTGACTCACGGACACAACAACACGCATGTGTGGCTTTAAGTCATCAATGATTATTCCAGTTTTGAATTGGACAAAAATCAGCATAAAATAATCTCTTGGCTGCATTTGTTTTTATTATAATCAAGTCATCATTGATTTTATTATATACCATATTGAGTTTACTAAACTTGGTTTATCTTCTCTACTGTATAAGGAGGTAGTTTTTGTATTCATTTTAATTCTCCTTTATCCCTCCAAAACAACACATAAATTTAGAAAGAAGACAAAAAAAAAAAAAGAGCATAATTCTTGGACCACACTGACCACTCTACGTATTGCAGAAGAATTTAAAATGAATCATGAATCCAGAAATCTGCAGTAACATATATAAAAGCTGACACGGATATATTGTATATATATTGGTGCAGACTTTTCAGAGAGTCACCACATCCTGATGAGAAGCAGAGACAACAACTTAGCAAGCAACTAGGCCTTGCTCCCAGGCAAGTCAAGTTTTGGTTCCAAAATCGTCGAACCCAAATCAAGGTATAATTATTTCATAATTCATCCATTTAAATTAACTTAATTATCCGTGATTAATGGTAGATAGCTGGAGAATAATATATAAGATAGATTCCCCCAAGAGTAATTGTATTTTCAAGAGTAATTAATTAACCACATTTACTTTTACTATATATATATGCTACTACCTCTGGTTCTTAATATAAGACCTCGTTTGATTTTTATTTTGGTTCTAATTATAAGACCCCGATCTACTTTGTCTTTTATATTTATGTATTTTTTTCCAAATTAGTCCCTCTAATAATAGTAGTTCTAGCCAATAAATTTGATTAGTAAGGATATTTTAGAAAAAGCAATATCTATTTATTACAAATAACTAACTTAACTTATTTTTTAAATTTCTTCAAATTAGTTAACTAGCTTTTATAATTAGGATTGGAGTAGTATGTAATCGTTCATGAAAGCTCATTTAATTTCAAACATAATTGGATTACGCATTACAATTTTTGTAATGGAAGGAAGCAATGTGATTTAATTATTACTGGTAGCTAATTACGTTAAGAATATATTGTGCAGGCTATACAAGAGCGTCATGAGAATTTTTTGCTAAAGTCAGAAATGGATAAACTTAGAGAGGAAAATGAGGCCTTGAGAGGGATCATAAACAAAGCTTGTTGTCCCAATTGTGGCGTCGCTACCATTTCCTCAGATGCTTCCATGCTCCCTGAAGAACACCAACTGCGCGTAGAAAATGCCAAACTCAAAGCTGAGGTTTGTCTAATAATTCACTTATTTCTCACACCTTCTTCTTATATGTATACATTCTTGGACAATTGCTGTGAAACAGAAAGGGGAAAAGAGGAAGGTAGAGGAAAGAGAAATATTGGGAAAAGTGAAAATTCTTATTTAATCACATCAAAAGTTAAATATAACTTTATAACTTTCTGGTTAAAAAAAAAAAAACTTCATATATAACTTTATTTATAGAACCATAGAAATAATTATAGGATAATAACTCAGATAATCTAGAAGATTATAGGATAAATAACTCAATGAGTCTTATTTTTAATGGATAAATACCTTTATTTAATAATCTTAATGGAATGCCCTAAGTATCTAAATTAAACTCTAATTACCCATAATTTCATATTCCGTCAAAAACATTCTCTAATTAACACATAAATTAAATTAGCCTACCATAGATCAATATTTGGTGCATTTTTATAGAGATACAAGGAACAATATGGACATATTAACACTTCTCATTAGATTTAGATATGTCCCATATATAAAAACAAATGCATGGGATCGGATATTGACGTAATGAATGGTGTATATATATATATAGATCGAGAAGCTTCGAACAGCATTAGCGAAGGGCCCACCGGGTTCGACAACTTCCCCTTCGAGCTCTTTGGGAAATGAGCAAATGGAGAACAGAAACTGTTTAGAAATTTACAGTGGAATTTTCGGACTCGACAAGACAAGGATAATGGAGCTGCTTAACCAAGCAATGGAAGAGCTTATAAAGATGGCCACTACGAAGGAACCACTATGGGTTCGCAGCGTTGAGACTAGTCGCCAGATACTTAATTACGACGAATATGTCAAACAGTTCCAAGTTGAATACATTGGAAGACCTTCCTCTTCTAATAATAAGAGATGCTCCATTGAAGCCTCAAGAGAAACTGGGGTTGTTTTTCTGGATCTCCCTCGTCTTCTTCAAATCTTCTTGGACGTGGTACGTACGTATATACGTAAACCTGAGAAGATCGAAAACTACAAGTTCGTAACTACATGCTTATATTTATTTTATGCGACTCATTCATGATATGTGTGTGTGTGTGTGTGTGTTTTGTACTGTATTATTTGCAGAATCAATGGAAGGAAATGTTTCCTTCCTTAATATCAAAGGCAGCCATTGTTGATGTTATTTGCAGTGGTGAAGGTCCTAACCAGGATGGTGCGGTGCAACTGGTGAGGATTACTTCAATTTTCTGCATGAAATATAAGTGATTACCAATCTAAATTATATTTTTAATACATATATATATGTATAGATATAAATATATCATATCATATCATATCATATATGACTGAATTATGAGTTGATTGAGAAAGAAGCTTATATATATAATGATGATAGTGCAGATGTTTAGCGAGCTGCAGATGCTGACACCGATGGTGGCGAGCAGGGAAGTATACTTTATGAGGTACTGCAAGCAATTAAAGGAAGAAGAGTGGGCAATCGTCGACGTATCCATAGACAAAGTACAAGACAGCATCGAATCTTCTCTGCTCAAATGCAGAAAACGCCCTTCTGGTTGCATCATTCAGGATACTTGCAATGGCCACTGCAGGGTGTGTATATATACATATATAAACATATATATTTTTTGCTACTGAATCCAACCAAGCCCATATATATAGAAGAAGAATTTGAATAATTGTGTGTGTTTTAAGTATAGGTAACATGGGTGGAGCACATAGAATGCGAGAAGAGCACGGTTCATACAATGTACCGGAGCATCGTGAACAGCGGGCTGGCGTTCGGGGCGAGGCGGTGGCTGGCGACTTTACAGGTGCAATGCCAGCGGCTGGTGTTCTTGATGGCCACGAATGTGCCGATGAAGGACTGTGTGGGAGTTGGGACGATGGCCGGAAGGAAGAGCGTGATGAAGTTGGCGCAGAGAATGACGAGGAGTTTGTGCCATGCCGTGGCGGCTTCCAGCCTGCACACATGGACCAAGGTGAGTGGTGAGAATGGAGAAGACATAAGGGTCAGTTCCAGAAAGAACTTGAACGAGCGCGGAGAGCCCCTTGGGGTGATATTGTGTGTTGTTTCTTGCTCCTGGCTTCCAGTCTCACCTAATGTTCTCGTTCATTTCTTGGGGGACGAAACCCGACGTACTCAGGTATGCGCATACTATCTCTTGTCCTTAAAAAGCTTATTTCACTTTTTATTTTAGTTCTAAATATAAAACTCAAATCTATTTTATCTTTTATATGTATTCAGTTTTTTAAGATATTCTTTGTAATAATAGTAGTTTTAATCAATACACTTGATTAGTAAGAATATTTTAGGAAAAACAATACCAGCTTATTACAAATAATTAACTTAACTAGTTTTTTTAATCTACTTAAATTAGTTAACTGACTCTTATATTAAAGACATGGGATAGTAGTTTTTAGTTTGTAATGCTTCAATTTGAATGTTTTTTTTATCTTGGGATTCTAAATAAAATAAGCGATAATTTTGATGTCTTATAGTGATGAAACGGTATAGTTTTAATTTTTTTTCCCCGACTTTTGAGAAAAAGAATAAATTAAAACTGCACAATTTTGGGCTTTATTTGAAGATCGTAAAAAATTCAAAAACTCACCATTTTGTCATCATATATAAAATATTAATGTGTTACTCATTTTATGTAAAATCTAATAATTAAAAAATATTTGAAAAATTTGGCATTACAAAAGATACGAGAAGAAGCCATGTTAGACGTACCAAAGGATTTGTAGTTTGCATGTGGTTGTAGCATTTGGTGGGTAAAACTACTCATATCTTTCCATCCTTCATACTTGTTATAGTGGCATGTGAGAAGTGGCGGTGAGCACGTGCAGTCCATCGTAAACTTGGCCAAAGGAAAAGATCGATGCAATGCAGTCAACATCCTGGTTGGTTTTAAGTTCCTTCACTTATATTACTTTTAATTAAATTTTAAATTGAAAATTAAAAAAAATATTTAAACTAGTGTGGACATTTATTATTTGCACCCATAAAATTCAGTCTCTACTATAATTTTAACTATTTAAAATGTTGGTACTACATTTTAAATAGTTAGAGAGGATATCAGTGTGTGTCCCATTCAAGTTGGGTCCAACCACACTCTTTTTGTCTCAATCAATTCACATTTTGTGTCGGAATCCGAAGAACCCTAGTTTTCCAATCCATATACGTAAATGCTATAACGCCTACAAAACATGCTTTCAAAGAGATACATACATACATACATATAAACACTGGTTGTTTGCCATGTTTGAGTAGGCAGTAAAATCAAAAGACGACAGTAGTAACAGTACGTGGATTCTGCAAGACAGCAGCACGAGTACGTACGAATCAACGGTGGTGTATGCTCCGGTGGACATCACTCGCATGCAGTCAGTGATCGCAGGCTGCGACTCCGGCGACGTCGCGATTCTGCCGTCAGGATTCTGCGTCGTCCCCGACGGACTGGAGGCCATAAGGCCATTGGTGATTACTTCTTCATCAAAGCATCATGGAGCAGAAGAAGAAGAAGAAGAGAAGAGCTCAGAAGCAGGGTCTCTGCTTACCATGGCATTCCAGGTCCTCGTCAGCACTTCGCCTGCTGCTAAGCTAACACAAGAGTCTGTTGAATCAGCCACTTCTGTCATGTCTTGTACTTTGAGAAATATCAGAACCAGTTTACAGTGTGAGGATAGTTAGTTAGTTGGTTGGTTGGTTTATTGTCGTCCAAGCATGCTTTCACGTTTTTGGCATATATATATAGAGGAGGAGAGAGAGAGAGAGAGAGTTGCAGAAGAAGTGGCTTGTTTTAGATCCTCCACTTTTCATGGGGTTTGATTCATTTGTTATTCGTTTTCCAAGTTTGGCGTTTGCAGTAAATGATGAATATACCTGGATCTGGATTTCCATTTATAGAAACAAAAAGACAAACAGTTTGAGAATGTTTGGGGATTTAGTAGGGTTTTACTATCTCACTTCCTAATTATAAGATTTTATTTGTAGTCTACAAACGAGATCTTATAATTAGGACCAGAGTTAGTGTTATGTATTTTGTACCAATGTATAGAATTACGTTACAATTTACAAATTATTGGAATGCTTGGTTTTTGCTTGTGTTTGTTTTAAATTTTTTCCTGCGTAAATTATTCATCATCAGTTTCTAGCTCCCTCTTGATCTATAGATTTTATATCATTAACGAGTGAGTTAAATTGACGATTTAAATTTATATATGTTGAGAAACCTTGTGAAAGTATTGAAATTGTTATATAAATAGTGAAATCCTCAACAGAATAACAACAGCAAATTTAATTAAATTAATTAGCATGGGGTAGCATTCCTAATTAAATTGCACTAGTCCTCTTTGCCAACGATATGAAAAATTCGCAGTTAATAAAAATAACTATCTGTTTACAGCTATTAGTCATGTTTCTTAATATAAGAGTTAGTTGACTAATTTGAGTAAATTAAAAAAAAATAACTAAGTTAGTTATTTATAATAAATATGTATTATTTTTTCTAAAATATTTTTATTAATCAAGTGTATTTGTTAGAAGTATTATTATTATAATAAAAATTATTTTAAAAAAATAAATAAATATAAAAAACAAACTGAATTAAGATGTTATATTTAAAATTAAAATAAAAATTAAAGGAGTTTTTATATTGAATACTAAAAGTAGTAGTTAATAATCACTGGAGCTATCCATCAACTTGCTTTTGAGTAGCCGTGCATGAAGTACTTTTCAATAAAATCTATTTTTGGAATCTAAAACATTTTTTGGGGAAAAAAATCAACTTTTATCTAGGCCAAAAAAACTAAGCTAAAAAATAAAAAACGGTCAATAAATATTTTACCAAAAAATGTCAATATTAATATAGATATCACTAAGTATTGTTCACCTTTTTTGTAAAAAAAAATTCGAGTATAATTGATAATTCCCATAAGCAAAGGACTAGCTGGCGATGGATAGGCTTATCCAATCTCGATCCACGTGGCACCGGGTAAATGAATTCCCAAATCTGCTGGTGACGTGGCATTTTGTGGCCAACTGATAATATAGTCTCTCACCACAGAACCCAAAGAGAAGAAAGTAAGGAAGAAATAATATCAACCATGGCTTCTCTGGCAACCTTAGCTTCAGTCCAACCGGCATCTGTCAAGGGCCTCGCCGGAAGTTCCCTTTCTGGAACTAAGCTCTCTATCAAGCCGTCCCGCCAGAGTCTTAAACCCAGAAATTTCAGGTTCCGTGCTGCATTTTCTCTGCTTTTTTCATTTCATATGAACTAGCAAACGAAAAGTAGGGGGAAAAAACTTCGAGGATCGAATTACTGCCATTAATTTATTCCCAAATGTATTTTATTATTAATCGGATTCTGATTGTAAGTTTGTGCGCAAATCATTAGGAGTGGAGCTGTGGTGGCCAAGTATGGTGACAAGAGTGTATACTTTGATTTAGAGGATATTGGCAACACTACTGGGCAGTGGGATTTGTATGGATCTGATGCCCCTTCTCCTTACAACCCTCTTCAGGTTCGTCTCTACAATTTCTTCATTTTCTTCAAGCTATGGTGACATTGGTGAAAACTTGAACATGGACAATTCCAAAATTGGAAATACTCCTCCGATCCTTAATGTAAGACCCATTTAACTAATTTGATTAGATTAAAGAAGTTAAGTAAGTTATTTAATTATAAGAAAAGTGACATATTTTTCCTAAAACACTATAATCATCTTTTTTAATACCTCCTCTCTCTCTTCTATTTGATTATGGTCGAAGAAATATTTATAGGGGTAATTTAGAGAAAATTGATAAATATGATACATGGGTCTTATATTTAGGACCAAAACCAATTCAAGAATTGAGTCCTATATTAAGCACCGGAGGAGTACAACTTAAGAATCTGAATTAAAAAAAAAAAAAAGATCTTCAGAATTAATAATTATGCATATGATACAAGATGCAAGTGGCATAGTTTAGAAAAATTATGTTGACCTTAGTTCGGATAGTTGATTAATAATGCGAGATTATCTTGACTAGAGACACAAGATTCCATTATGACTAGTTTTGTTTCACTGAGAAATTCTGTAGTTATGCGGTCATGTGAGAGAGTAATACATAAGGGGATGAGACTTTGTAGGTATTTTGTGTGTGAAACTCAGTTTCTCTATTTATACTCTTCAATTTTTCCGTTTCTCTCTATATTATGTGCAATCAAATTTTTAATTACAAGGGACCTGATATGTGTCTGATATTTCACTTGGCTGTTTTTAATTTTGTTGTGTCTTTGTGTGTGAGCATCCGTTGCTATTTTGAATGATAGGCGGGTCATGGCATGTTAATAAACTTGAGATTTAGGTGAGAAATTTCATTTCTACATATCCATTATGATTGGATACTTCACTAGTACGAGAAATTTTTGGGGAATCACCATCTAGTTCCCAAGATGAATCCTCAAAATCAATTAGCAGCAGTTTTGGTTGTAGTTAGACTACGTACCTAAGAACTTCTTAACATACAAAGCCATTGCTTTTCATTTTCACTGGGTAGCTTGTTATGTGTTAAATTTCAACTTGATCATCTGACCATACATCTTAACGAATCAAAGATTACTCTGCAACAAACTGAGTCTTATTCTTCGACATGGATTTGCAGAGCAAGTTCTTTGAGACATTTGCTGCTCCATTCACAAAGAGGGGATTGTTGCTCAAGTTCTTGATATTGGGAGGTGGCTCTACTCTCGCATACTACAGTGCCACAGCTACAGGTGATGTTCTTCCAATCAAGAAGGGCCCACAACTTCCACCTAAGCCTGGTCCACGTGGCAAGATCTAAGCTAGTTTCTTCTGGTTGAATTTATCTGTTACCATCTTGTGTACTTATGTTCAACTCTGCTATTCAAAGATGTTAATCTCCAGTCTAATTGAATGGCATATTGGCGTTGCTCTAATTTTTAATTGAAGCAGAGACCTGTTAGTTTGGACTACTCGATCGTGATTTTAGTGTGTAAATCTGGGGAACCATGCCCCTTGGGGGAAGACTAAGTACTTTTTATTGCCTTAAGATTTTGAAACATCTTACCTTTACCGACAGAGCAAAGAGACCTTGAATGATAAGTTGTGTCCATGCCAAAAAACTCGATTTAGATACAAGAAGAACAACTCTTCAAACGAACGCTTCATATTTTATAGGCCCATATCCAACTTTTGCTTACTATTCATTGTTTTCGCTTCATGCAGTGATCATAAATATGGCAAACAATCGATATTGAATATAAAGTATAAAATCTACAATATTTACGACCAGTGAACAATGAGAACTTATTTTTTGAAGCTCTATTCAATGCATGGAGAAATATGTCTAGTTTTATCAAAGTTGTGTGAGACACGTTACCCTATATTGACTGAAGGATTCTAAGATAATACAGGACAGAAAGGGGAACCCCCCCCCCCCCAAAAAAAAAAACAACTTTGTGAAATCATCAGAAATCACAATTTGGTAGCTACCAGACTACAAATCCTTCTTATGCAGAGGATATCATATCTGACAATGCCTCGGACCCGACGATTTTGCTTGTTCAATCCTATGTACAAAAACGAGCAATGAATAATCAAGGCTTCGCCTCCCCCCATACTTGTTTTTCCCTGTCATCTTTCTCCTCTCTCAGACACCTGTTCATCTATGATAATCTTTAAAATATTCTCTCTCTCTCTCTCTCTCTCTCTATCCTTAATGGCGAGACGTTGGGCTTCTCACACCTCCCAAATTCTCGAGGTAGGACACTTTCTTGGTGGCTATGTTGGGAAGCTTCTGAGTCTTTGCATCAAGGTCCTTAATGAAGTCTTCTGAAACTTGTGAATCCTTCTTCATGTCTGAGTCACCTTGATCAGCTTCCCATCCCATGAAATCTAATAGTGTCATTGAACCAGGAGTTTCCGTACCATTCTTTTCTGTCTCTTCTTTAGGAGTTCCAAAAGATTTCGCAACTTGTGGTGAGTTTCTGCTAACGCTCTTTCTTCCTGATTGTGATGAAACTTGCCGATCTGCATGGAGTACATCGTCTATTCTTGATAGTACTGTAAATGCCAAACTTTCCAGAATTCTTGAATAGCTTTCTAGAACAGCTTGCCCTACATCCTGGCATGACAATAAACACATCATTAAAAAACCTTCTCCTAAGCAGCCTAGACCCTAACATGCAGAAGGATCTTCTAGAGTTCTTAATTATAAAGAAGTAGTAGAATTTGGAGACCTACTTTCTCTTTTTCCTCTCACTCAATCTTTCTTCTTTTTTCTCCCTGAACTCTTTAAGAAATTTACAATAAAAATTTATAAAACATCTAGACTCTGTAGAAAGGAGTAGGGATGGAACTAGGTTGTACCATTTAGGGGCAGCCGCCCCCTCCTAATGTTCTCAATTGCGTGTATAATGCATTTAGTAAACATCAATGCTCAGTAAAAATTATGCATCTGGCCCCTAAAATTCTATGCTTGCCTCTCCTAGTTATCAAAATTTGTAACTTCCACCCCCTTTGCCGTTTCTTCCTGGTCCATTCCCGGAAAGGGGACATGTCTAACATATGGCAGAAACGGGGAATATAACTGAAGATGCCAGAAGTACATGTTCTTACCCCATTGAATTGGATTTTGCTTATATCTAATGTAGATTGAGGGATCCCGGGGAAACGATGCTTGATGAGAATCAAGATACTTTCTGCCCTCTCTTCAAAAAGTTCTCTTTTTTCTAGACTCACAGCAGAACTCCAAGACGATTTGCTATCTTTCTGGATCATCTTCCTCTTCCAAATTACTATGGATGCCTCCATTCTGTTCTTGAGATCCAGAATCTTATGTTCTGATGACAAGTCAATTCCCATTAGGAATTGGTCTGGATCAAAAAATTCATCGGTGATGCTCCGATAGATTGAGTCCCCAAGACTTGCTCTCCCATTCTGGAAAAAAGAAAATTAGAACACGTTGCGGGGAATTTAGAGAAGAGATGAAAACATTGATCTTACCTTTGGTAAGGATTCAATATAGCTTTCAGGGATCTCCATTTCTGATAGAACTTGAGCATTTATGGCCATTGCTGCTTTAAGTACTTGGTTCACACAATCTTTCTGATACTGCAGAAATTTTCGGGCACCATCAGATAAACCCTCTGGTGGAACCTTGACTGTAGGTAACCACCATTTATCATCATTTTTTGACTTCTTATCTCCGTCGTCAGCGTCTCTTGATACATAATAGAACTCCTGTTGTTCTTTGAAGTTGTCTAGGCAATCCTGTTCATAATCAATTATTAATAATGAAGTTATTATTGAACATTCTCAACCCGAGAGGGATGAATATGAGCATTGTGAGGTTTGAGGTCTTACGAGAAGCATTGCATCTAGCTTGCGCAAGGCAGGGATATTCATGTGGAGATCTGTTCGTTGTCTTGTTGTCATGATCTGTTTCAACCAAAGTTCTTGGTGATATAGCCAGTGACACTGAGGGCAGGGAAAAAATAGAGAGAGAGAGAGAGAGAGAGAGAGAGAGAGAGAGAGGAATAGGGCTACCTCCATGCTTGAGCCATCCTTGGATTTTTGTTGTGAAGGAACCATTTCAACGATGTAATCAGTAACTGATAGAAGCCAGTCAATTTCCTTTCTCCATCTTGCTTTCCTTTCTGCCGGCATTGGCTCTAGGCGTCTTTGCTCACCAAATATTGAAGCTGCACTCTCAGAAAAGAATTATCAAATACTCGGACAATGAATCTGAATGTTCTTGCTAGCAATCCCAAAAAAATTGAATAGGAGAAAATTCAATTCAATGTACCTGCAAGGTTTGTGAATGCATTTGACAAGGCCAAAGCAGAAGAAACACCCTTTCCTCCACCAGACATATCCTCACCTAATAGTAGTTTTGCAAATCTCTCCTTCATCTGTTCCATTTCTGAATTAAACCCAGCCGTAAATGTCCAAGTTATAGGCAAATTCAGCGCAGTTTATCCACAGAATTTGAAGGGAAAAAGAAAAGGAAATGAATGGTAATATATGCATAAAGATTAAAAGTTGTGCATGAACCTTGAAGGAGCTTTTCTCTGACTTCTTTGATTGCTTGCTCTTCTCTGATCTTTTGTGATCTCATACGTCTATCTAATGCATTCCCAATTTGGTTATCTGGATTTGATCCTCTTGATGATGCTTCTTCTGTAGGATCTAAAATGCTTGCACTCTCAACACTTAGACTCTTTGCATGCCTCCCAGGGAGATCAAACATGCCTTTGAAATTGAAGAGCTTGGACCTGTAAGTTTCCTGCTCTTCTGGACGACCCATTTTCTTAAAATCTTCACCAAGGAAGACTCTTCAAGGGACGATGGTGAATTAGGAAGAACAGAACATGGGGTTTGCGAGAACTGTTTGGGAGATAGTATGAGAAGGAAGAAAGAAAGAAAGAATACCTTTTCTTCTTCTTCTTCTTGTGATTTTTTCTTGAGAGAGAAGAGGAAAATTCAGGAGAGAAGCTAGAGTTTGGCAATGAAGACCCAAGATTTTTTTAGCAGGTTGCCTGTTAAGAATTTGACAGAAAGTTTGGAGGTGATTGTTTGATGGAATTTCCTTATTTTTGAGTTTAGGGTTTAATAGAACGTGGGGTGCATGTTGTAATGAGGGAGATGGGTTTAAGAGTGCGGGGGGGAAAAAAAAACAGAAATTTGCATTATTTTATGTGTCTGAGAGGGAATCTGTTTTGCTTAACATGTTGGATGGTTGAGGTTCTAATTTGAAGGTCAAAGGTTGCTAAAGACCAGGAAGACAGATGTATATTTCTAGCCATTTCCAACCCAACAAAAACAAGTTTATATATCTCAACACTATGTTATTCTTAATCAAATCAGTTTCTCCATATGTCAAAATTTAACAAGAAGCACCTAAAAAGTAAAAACTAGAATCAAGTTTTTAATTTTTTTGGGGTCCTACCAACCTCCTAGAAATGGACGATGCTTGGCCCTCGGAAGAAAAAATAATTAAAAGATATTTCAATGATATAAGTCCAAAATATTCTGTTGGATTTTGCACTAAGGTGAGAGAATCTTGGGACCAGTATCGTGGGTTGTAGTTTTGCCACACAAACTAGATTCTGTTTACTAGATTTGATTATCCCATTTTTTGAGGAGGAGAAGAAAACTGTTAAATATCACTCGTCTTTAGGAATCTCAATTAGTGGGGGAAGGAAAATTCTCGTCTTCCTGATTTTTTTTCTTTGTTAGTTTCTCATCAATAAAAGAAATGGTCTTAAACTAAGAAATTCTAAATCAAAGTGAAAATAACAACCCAAGGTCAAATGCTTGTGGTATTGTTGTAGTTTTTTAGCTATGATTCTGCAAATATTAAATTAATACCCTGTCTGCATAAAATAAACTAGTAAAGCAACTGCATTCAATACACTACTTTGAATTATTTATGTTGAGGAATTCAAAAAACTGGCTTATAATATTGAGGCCAGATCATCTCAGAATGATCTCATCATCAAGAAAGAAAGAAACAAACGAATTTGTGCTAGGAGAGCAGAGAAATATATAAAAACTCCAATAGATGAAAGCAGAGGAAGCATCAGCAATGACACAAGATTCTCCAATAGATGAAAGCAGAGGAACCATCAGCAATGACACAAGATTGCTCTGTTTTTATGCTCTTTATATCTCTAAACCACGATCAAACAACTGTCTCGCAATATTAGCAATCACATCATGATTTCGGAGTCCAAACGCGACGCTAACCCTGGTTTGGTGAAGGGAAAATTGCAACAATGTTCCACTCAATAGAATTAAATACAAAAAAGTCTTTTAAAATCATCAAATTATTCTAAAATCTTAAAACATCTTATTGTGAGATATTTGATTTATTTAATTATCAAATTGTCCTTTTTTTTTAAGTATGTATTAATAATTGACAGCAGTCATTAACAACACAAAGTGTAACGATTATCAACGTGGTAGGTATTTTTTTTTTAAATGAAAAGATGTATTAATGGCAAAATATTTACAGAGTCAAGACAGAACAAAAAACAAATAAAAGGAACAGTAAAACTTGAAAATCAAAAGTCACTAGCTGCTGCTTCTGAAGTCTTGCTTATACGGTTTGCCAATGCAATGACTTCATTTACAACATGGTGAGCTTGGAATTCTTCGTGATCGAAGAGTTTCCGGTTCCAAGTTGCCCAGAGTCTCCAACAGAACAGTCCAAAGGTCACGCACCATAGCGTATTGCTCATTCTCTTGCCAAGATTGTCTTGGAGCCAGTCGTTGATCGGTGTTGTCATGAACGTGTGGAATTTATCAGATGAGACAATGAGACTCCAACATACGGCTGCAAAGTCGCATCAATGTAGCACATGGTCAATATCCTCTCTGCCTGAATGGCAGAGCTCACATTTGTTATCTTGGGTCATATGTTTGCATTGTCTTTCAGAGTTGGTTAGTAGTTTGTTGCTTAAGACCAGCCAGAGGAAGGATCTAACCCTTTGTGGGCCTAGCTATTTCCAAGCTAAATTCCAGCATCTTCGGCTTTTGCTCCAATTCTCCATGCTATGTTAACAATGTATTTTCTCAGCCTATTACAAAAATAGAATGTATAAATTGTCAATATTCATCGTGATAGTTGTTAATTTTTACATCTTAAATTGTTGATGACTGCACTTTTTAGTTATCAATGCATATTTTTTAAAAAAAAGATAAGAACAATTTAATAATTAAATAAATAAAATCTCTTATAATAAGATCTCTTAAGAGATGATTTTAATGAATTTTTTTGTATTTAATTTTTTTAGGCAAGACTTTATTGCAATTTTTCATAAACAAACTATAGGGGAAAACAAAACTTCTGCAAAAATATAGGGAAAAACAACTTTTCCAAAGGGGAAAAAGATGATTCTCTCTCCGGTCAAAAAAAAAAAAAGATGATTCTCTCTCCGCACACTACCGGGAAAAAAAAAAAGACCTCCAAAGAACAGAACACATGATTGAGCATTCAAGTACAGAGTGGGGTGACACTTGGATCCTTCTGCGGCAGCAACGGACAAAAAGAGTGTTTTGAGATTAACTTGTTATTGTTAACGATTATTGATTATTGATTTACCGATATTATCATCGTACTTTGAGTCCTTCTTAACAAGTGATGATATAGTCAACGCTAGTTTGTTCTAACGGATGAAGTCTCGAATGTTGGTTCTGTTGCCTCTTTGAATTTTGAAAGTCGCACTGTCATGGCTGATCTTGTGAATTAAACCTGGAAGCTCACTTTCTGGGCAAGCAACTCATAACTCCTTTGACTTAGATTCTTGTTAATACTTAAATAAAAAATAAAATCTAGCCGTTTTGATCCTGTATTGAGTGGCCCAAATTCAGCTCAAAATCTAGCCGTTTTGACCCTGTGATTTTATGGCATCAGCCAAACATATGAGCTTTGCATTGCGTGAGAATTTAAAACCCAGTGATTGCGCCTTTGATTAACTTGTAGAAATGAGAAATCCGTGTGGGGATGCAAATTGAGAGATAGGAAATACAAGGGAGAGGAAACATTAAAGAGAGAAGGGGCTTCCAAGTTTCAACGATGGTGATCGATGGAGACGAGTGATTGCAGAGAAGTTCGTTGTTCATATTGCTGGGATGTGAGAGAGAGTGTGTAATAATTGACCCGTTAACAACTACTCCACTCGTCAACACCGTCCTCTCCAAGACTGCAACTACCACCTCGTAAACCCTAAGCCTGACCGGAAAATGGAATCCATCAGCGTTCTAATGCCTCGCCCTACTTTCCCCTACTTAGAGGAACAGCTCGACGGGCGCTTCAAGCTATTCCGCCTCTGGGACAATCGGACTGAGATCCAGTTCAACAACGACAGTGCAATTGCCAACTCCATACGCGCCGTCGTTGTGAACTCCGTCGACGGCGCCGACGCGGATCTGATAGGCAAGTATCCAAATCTTGAGATCGTGTCGTGCTATGGCGTAGGGGTCGATAAGATCGACACGAGAAAGTGCGCAGACAAGGGGATTCGGGTGACCAACACTCCGGATGTGTTGACTGATGAGGCGGCAGATTTGGCCATCGGATTGATTTTGGCCCTCTTGAGGAGGCTGTGTGTGTGTGATCAGTACGTTAGAAGTGGAAAATGGAAGCGAGGTAACTTCAACCTCACCACAAAGGTAGTATGAAAGCATCTTATATTCTGATTTCTGTGAAACTGATCATGAAATCTTCAGCTTTTTGCCTTTGTTCCATTTTCAGTTCCTCTTCTTCCTTCAAAAGTACTCCCACTTAACCATCGACAGTGATTGTGATGAACATATCTCCGTGCCATAATTTGGCATACAAATTATAATGCTCGTAGCCCAAACCCATTATCACCTAAGAAGATTAACAATTCAAGACTCAATCATGCAAGTTTACTTGAAGTACAAATCTAGTTGAGAACTTGTTCTTTTAACTAATAATCCCCACCACCTCTCTCTACTCGTAAATCATATTTCTTTCCGGCAGTTCTCTGGTAAAACAGTTGGCATTCTTGGACTGGGAAGAATTGGCAAGGCAGTTGCTAAGAGAGCTGAAGCATTTGACTGCACAATATGCTACCATTCAAGAACAGTAAAGCCAGAGTCCAAATACAGGCATGCTAAAAGATTCCGGTCCTATTCTCATGAACCCATATTCACTAGTTCCTTCCTCAAAAGTTGAGGCTAGGAAGAACAAACTGTGTAACTCATAAGCCGTGCATGACATTTAGTACTTTTGACAGCTTGACTCCTAAGCTTTTGCTATGTCAGGTACCATCCAAGCGTTGTGGAGTTAGCATCCAACTGCGACATACTCGTGGTGGCACGCTCGCTCACAAAAGAAACAGAACATATTATAAATGGTGAAGTGATGAATGCACTTGGTCCTAAGGGTGTTTTGATCAATGTTGGAAGAGGGAAGCATGTTGATGAAGCAGAGCTGGTATGTGCACTGCTTGAAGGTCGCTTGGGTGGGGCTGCACTTGATGTGTTCCAAGACGAGCCAAATGTGCCTCAACCATTGTTTGGGTTGCAAAATGTTGTTCTTACACCTCATATAGGAAGTGCCACTGTAGAAACTCGCACTGCCATGGCCGACATTGTCATTGCAAACTTGGAGGCTTACTTTCTGGGCAAGCCTCTTTTGACTCCATTCCTTTAATTACATGCAATTATGTCCAAGACTTCTTTTTTCCCCCCTTTAATTGAAAAAAAGCAAGTTGTTTTTGTTTCGAAACAGTACCTGCTCAATATGATCATTATTATCCATCTAGTTTAAGTATTGAGAAACTCGCCTTGTTTATGGAAGAAGAATATGATCATCTATACAACTCGGTATGCTTTCTTAACGAATAAAGTGTTTAAATGTCATGGAGTATCCATAAAGGACCACTTACCATCTAAAAGTTTTTTTTTTTTTACTTTTATATGTTCTGAAAGTTTTATTTTGTAGTATTTTTATGTCAAACCGTTAGGTGCTGGATTTTTTTCGTGGATACTTCCATAGAATTTAAACATCTTGTTCTTTTTTTCTAATCACATTCCAACATAATATGAAAGTACTTAAAAATAATGTTTGTTAAGAGTAAAAATGAAAATTGATGGAAATTTAAGACAATTTCTTTTGAGTAAGAAATTTAAGACAATTTTATCACTTAGTTTTGGTAAGTTAATTTAAAGTAACTTAAAATATACTTGTAAATGAAACAGGTCATATCCGACCGTTGGAACTTAATTGACAACAAACGTCTCCCTTGAAGCTTTTTTAAGTGTAAGGTTGTGAATAACCTTTTGTACATAGTAATAAATAAATAAAAATTAAATGTCATTTGTATGGGTGTCATTGACTAACATCGTAGTGGATTGATAGGGTTCATATAGTCTTCCTTTATGTTTCCCCTTTCAGTAAAGAATTGGTACTGTTAAAGATAATTACTTTTATCTGCCTCTTCATGTTGAATCAGATTTGCATATCCATCCCAACACTTCAAAAACAAAAAGAACAAAACACCATTTTGAGTGAACACGTTTGAGCGTATGACTTAGGAATAATAGGTTGGGTCATCAAAATTTTGACTTTAGTCTAATATCCTGCCTAATTAATTAATTGATTACTTTTTACCAACATATCCAACCAAATTTTATATGCATAATTCAACTTTTTAATCTTATCATTATTGTGCCCTCAAAAAAAAAAAACAGAGAGAAATAATATGCTGGCTATGGAGTTCGAACTCACGCGCAACTTTATGTGTAGAAGATCTTAAGTCTTCCCCTTTAACCTCTCAAGCAAACCAGCAGATACAAATTATGTCCTGCCTGATTAATTAATTACTTTTACCAACATATTTGACCAAATTTTATAGGTATAATTCAAATTTTTAATTTTATTATTAAGCCTTCCAAAAATTAGGAGAAAAAATGTGTTGGCTATGGGTTCGAACCATTATTATGCTTTTCAAAAATTAGGAGAAATTATCTGCTGGTTGTGGGGTTCGAACCCACGGGCAACTTATATGTAGAAGATCTTAAGTCTTCCTCTTTACCTTGTCGGGCAAACTAGCGAATATAAATTATGTCCTGTCCAATTAATTAATTACTTTTGACTAACATGTCCAGCCAAATTTTATATGTATAATTCAACTTTTTAATCTCATTATTGTAGTTCCCTCCCAAAATTAGGAGGAATAATGTGCTGTTTGTGGAGTTTGAGCAATTAATTTATTACTTTTTACCAACATATGCCACCAAATTTTATATGTATAATTCAACTTTTTAATCTTATTATTGTTTGTGCCCTCCAAAAATAAGGAGAAATAAGGTGATGGCTGTGGGGTTCAAGCCCATTTGTAACTTATGTACAAAAGATTAAGTGCCTGTTTAGAATGGTTTATTTCGGGTCATAAGCAGCTTATTTTGAGGAGAAGTTTGATTGAAAAATGTGATCCTGTTTGGCGCAGCTTATGGGCTATTAAACTTGAGGACCGAAAGCTGGGGCAACTGTGCGTTTAAAAATAAGTTGTGGGAGGGAGTTTATTTGAAGGGCTTATAGATCATTGTCTGTTTCAGAATTATTCTCTTTTTATTTTTCTTTCACTCCTCCCATTATTCCCTCATTATTCACTCTCTCTTTTTTCGACCAGAGCTCATTAAACCCACGACCCGTCTTTGCGGCTGGATGAGCTCTGTTGCCTCCTCGCCAGAAGCTCCGTCACTTGTGAGCCGTGAGCTCCGTCGTGTTTGCCTTGCGAGCTAAAGAGCAAACTCCTCTTCATGATTCGGGGTGTCGATCATGGTTTGTGGGTCGACCAGGGGTGTGCATGAAGCCCAGAAGCCCGCTAAGCCCGTCCAAGCCCGAAAAAAAATTGCCCAGCCCAGTCCGAAAAAGAATGGGCATCTTTGGGCTGGGCATTTCATGGGCAGGACATGCTGCCCTACCCAAGTTTTATATATATATATATATTATAATTTATGAAATAATATTAATATATTACTTTTTTTACCCAAAAAAAAGTTATCTCCCTCCTCTTTGCAATTTAATTTATTATTGTCACATGTCTGTTAGTTTTCCATTTTAGGGGATTTAATTCTTTTAAAGAAGCAATAGTATTTTGCTTTTAACTTGTTCCTAGTGAGCTTTATTGGGTATATCCTATTATGTGTTGCTGTTGTAATGTTGGCTATTTATAAGTCAGTCTTCCCCTCTATGCCATTAACAACTTTCTTTGTTAGAAAATATAGTTCATACATTATATATTTGTATAAATCAACAATTTGAAATATTTATACAAGATAGAAAACAAGCTTGGAGTAAGAGATGGAAAAGAAAATTGGGTTTTAATTATCTGAATTACATGTTTTATTTTTTATTTAATTCATATTTAGTTATTTTGTATTAATTTTTTATGAACAAGTCATATGATGGAAAGAAATCTTTTAGTTGTATGGACTGCTAACTACATTGTATCGCATAATAAGTATTTGCATATTAAAAGTGGTTATATTAAATTATTATAAGATTTTTTATTTTTCTTTTTTACAATTATTTTCACCCTATTTTTATATGGTCTATATTATTACTGTTAGCCCATGGCTTCAGTTTTAATATCCTTTTGCAATCTTTTAGGTAACATTTAATTTTTGCCACTTGAATGGATAATCAAGCTTCTATTATATCGCCATCCCTAACCTTCAATGGAATATCTCAATGTGCTTCAACCCCTCTTCAATTTTTTCAAATGTTTTATTCTTTTCTCAACTTTCTAGAGATTGATGCGAACCGTTTGAATTTCAAATATTTAATTACAATCTTGAGAGTTGTTTTGTTCTAAATGGATTATGAATACTATTTATTTGGATATTTGTTAAGACTTGTTTTGAATTATTTCTAGATAATTTCAATGTGTGAAAATATAAAATTATGAAATGTAATTTTCAGTTACGGACGAAAGTTTTTTTACATGTGATATCGTCAAGTCATCACCATTTAGGCAGCGAAGCCCGCCCTGCCCAGCCCGCTCATGCCCAGCCCAAAATAGTTAGGGCTTCTATGGGCAGAGCCGGGCATCGGGCTGCATTTTACTTTGGGCTGGGCATCGAGCAGGGGTCTTGCCCTGTCCAGCCCTACCCATGTGCACCCCTAGGGTCGACTGTATTTTTTCTCCCTGTTCTGTGATGAAGTTAAAGTCAAGATCTTTGAAGTGTGCAGGATGCGATGAATTTTTGTTTGGGAAAAAAATTCAATAAAACACCTATTGCCTGTAAGCAATCTCACTCAGATGCCACATGGATGATTTTTTGCCAAAAGTTTGCTTAGTCTACAAAATACAATAATTTTTTATGATTTCTCTAATATTTTAAAATTTAATTCAATCATTCAATTTCACTTCTTCATATTAAATTAATTTAAATTTATTGTATTATGTAAATTTTTTTTATCATGTTTCAGTTTATATTTACAAAAAAATTTTATGATTTCTCCAAAGTTTTAAAATTTAATTCTTTCATTAAATTTCATTTCTTCATATTAAATTAATTTAAATTTATTGTGTTATGTAAATTTATTTTTTATCATATTTTATTATTTATTAAAACTTATACACATTTTAGTAATTTTATGAACAAACTTACTTTTATTCAATCATAATCCAAATAACTTTTTACCAAATCTAACTTTTACAAATAAACTTTTTAAACTCCAATTCAAACACAAGTCACCTTTCCAATTTAGCTTTTTTCTAATATTATATTTTTAAAAGTCAGATTGAAAATAAGTTATTTTTTTTTTACGGTTAATCCAAACAGACTCTAAATCTTTCCCTTTAACCTCTTTGGCAAACTAACAGGTGTAAATCAATGTCCAAACAAATTGATCTCCATAAATAAACAGTTTTTTTTTTTAATATGATGTTCAATCCATAATTTTCTTTAAAAACAAAGACCCGCTCGGAACGAAGAATATAAAATTGTAAAACTTATTGATAATTTTATTTTTATTTTTACATAATATCAAAATTGTTATTGGAGGTCATTGTTCCTAGAGCTGTTCAAAAGTGCAACTTGTAAGTTCGAATTATGCAACATTTCAAATATATTGCTTCGACTACGATGATTGTACTTATTGACTAAAAACATTAAATCAAATTAGTCAAATGAAAAACCACTGGCCGTCCATAAGCCGCATTCTTCTAAATTTGTGGGTAAAATGTAAGTGTATATTGCATAAAATGAAAAAAATGTAAATTTATAAGAAAAAGGGGCCGAAATGCCATTTCATTTCATTTCATTTTTTTCAAAAAGGTACCAATTTATTAAAAAAAAACTAAATAAATCACGTTTTTTATTCAGCTAAAAGAATGAATAATGCACGTTAAAGTCAAGAAGAACAGAGTAGCCAAGCTTTACGCGTCATTGACCTCAGCCTGCTTCTTCGAAGACGCGCGGAACAGAGGACGGTGCATCCCCCCAATCTGGGGTCCCACCTTAAGAAAAAGAAACCATTTAGGCCGTGCCTCTATATAACCACCCCACCTTCTCTCTGTGTTCCCATCGTAATCCCATTTCAAGCTCCTCTTTTTGTTGTTTGGTATCTCCAGATTTTCCTTCAGGTAATGATCAATTCTGATGAGTCCCCATCTCTCTCTCTCTCTCTGTGTTTCTTTTTGTCCCACTATTTGCTTGCTGGGAAAGTGTTCGAATTCGTAGCAAACTGGGAAGTGTGTCGTTCACTATTGGTCTGTTGCCATTAATATTGCTTCATTCTGCAACTTCGACTCTCAGTGATTGCGCATAGATTTAGCTGTTTCGATTCCTTCTTCATTTTTCTTGCACTTTATAATGTCGATGGCTCTCCGTTCCTGTGGTTTTTATGGCGCAGATAAAGAAAAAGGATAGGAGATGACGTCAGTTTCAACTTTGAATCCTAATGCTCCTCCCTACATTCCTGCCGCGTTCCGCCAAGTGGAAGATTTTTCTGCAGAATGGTGGCAACTGGTGACAACATTTCCCTGGTACCATGATTACTGGCTCAGCCACCAGGACGAGGAAGGTTTTTATGAGCATGAATCAGACAGAAATAGCGTCACTGATTTGCTGCCTGATACATTTGATCTTGACGTCACTGAAGATTTCTTTGTTCACTATTCTGATTCTCAAGGTAAGATAGACCACCTTAAGCGATAAATTTGGATTGCTTAAACTTGGAAGTCTGACACTTGTCGAACTCATGATTCAGAGGTAACTGGATCCGTCACTTCAGTTGAAGCAGAGCATGTAGGGAAGCTTCCACCAGCATAAGCACAGGATGACTTCAGCAGCCTGGATGGGTCCTTTAGCTACTTACCATATTATCTGTATCTTTAACCTTTAGTTATTTACCATATTATCTGTATAGGCAAGGGTTCAAATTTCTGTTCAAAAAATTATGGAAAAGAATTGTTCGAAGCTTCATCAAGTGCTATTTTAGGTAAACTTCTAGACGGATGTTTATGAGTAAATCTCGCGCAGCAGAATTCATGAGCTTAATGTTAGAAACATGGATGGAGAAAAATTTTCACGGGTTGATCTAAGTTTCAACGAAAAAAGGCACGAATATCTGATGAAACAGGCCAATGCAATATAAAATATCACCACCCTCCCAAGAATCCTCTCACAGTAAATATAAATTCCAGCCTTACTATTCATCCCCAAAAAAAAAAGGGATTTACTCCCGTGAATTTCATAATTTTTGGCAGCCAAATCAGGGACCGTTATAATAGGCTTTTTACATCAGCCAACTTACTAAAAATATGTACCCTATATTTTAGTCCGTTCACGACACATTGGAAACATGTTACCCAATTTAATGCCTAGGAAGCCTATCAGCACAATAGCATGGCTGTATTGTCTAAATCTCATGTTCCTACAAAATAGGCACAGCAACCGTACTATCATTTCTTTTTTCAAGCAGATATCTCTGCCAGCAGTTCTGGCTCATCTTCAAGGTTTTTCCTTCTCTGAGCTTCAAGTTTAGATTGGCTGCCTAGAGCATCAGAAATGGCTTTCGGTAACCAAAAACCAGGTCTCTCAAGGAAAGTGGCTCGGTCAAGAACCAAGGGCTCTCTCATAGTTACTTCAACGCCATCGTAGGTCCACAATGTCATAGTTGCTTCACCTTTCAGACCTAAAGATAACCAACCTAAACCGGCCGTTGCTATGTCCATGCTATTAACTTCCCAACTGGTTCCCGATGCCTTTATTTCCCTCCCTTGCCATGCGCCTAATTCAACTGTGCGGTCATTGTCAATGGGCGGCTGGAATACCAAAAAAAAAAAAAAAGGATCAAATATTATTTGAACATAGTCTGGAGCTTATTAGTAGAAAGTCCTCTTTCCCGAGAAGGTTTTAATTTTTCCCAACTAAGTTTTTAACTTGCACACAGTAAAGTTACTCTTCTTCTGCATACAGTATATCCAGGCATTGTTAAGAAATGTTTTAAAAAAAGTTAATTTTAAAGCAAAGATGATTTCACCTTTTCTGTGTTCCCATCCCACAAATGTGTCATATACTACAAACCTCGTAATCAAGGAGGAACCAGGAAAAAAAAAATTGCCAGATATACTTGGTACTAAAACCTTGGGATTTACACTAGAATAGAACCCACAGATTCTGTATCAATCCTATCCTATGGAGTGCCAAAGTGAGACGCAAAAAACTAAGTAGGGTGAGGGAATAAAAAAGAGAAGAAACATAAAGTAAATCATTTATAACACATTCCAAGAAATTCATATCAATATTTCAGCAAAACCCTCATATGAAAAAAATTAGCTTTAAAAGCGCCTCTTCCCTGAGACCTAGATTAAGGTTGAAAATTAGCCCAGTTAGCTGTCTTAACAAGAAATATTGTAGTGCAAGCAAGTCAATATAAAATATAAGTATAGGGAGCTGCACTGTTTACAAGCTCACAAACAAAACATAACCCTAACATCATTAGTAATATGTTGATTATCATATTTAGTTTGGCAGAAGAAAAAGAAGATGCTTACCTGCAACCTAACACCAACATGATTCCTCCAAATTTCATCGGCATTTTCTATTTTCCCCAAGTGTAAAGAAACATTAGGTGATGCCCAAACTGTGACATATATTGTTTGAACGGAAGATTTATTAAGATCAAGCCTCATCAAGCCACCAACATGAACAGCCTGCCCTACCTGTAGGTTTAAACTGATATATTAGATTCTGACAGCATCTGCAATATTCAAATATAAGTACTTAAGCATGCACACAATATTAACCTGCCAGTTGCAACAGCTCAAAAGGAAAAAGCTGAGCATGATCAACAGGTCAAGGAAGAGTGCTCATGTTATCTCCAACAAATAGCTCTCTATCTGTGTTCTAGTATAGGAGAAGAGATACTAAGGATATGGCCATGCAGTATTTTGTGTAATATTACAAGCCTACTTTTCATGTGCATATATGCAAGGACAAGGTCAAACAGGCACGATTTATCAGCAAGCTCATCCACAAAAGCTAAAGTAAATAAAACAATGTCGTAGTCATACTTCAGGTATGCAGAGAGACAGGACTGCTTTGCTGCATTTTCAGCCTCTTCGCCATCAACTTAGGACCTAGTAAGCATATTTTCATTTAAGATTTAAAGGGGTAGACTTCTAAAGTAGCAATTAAAATAAAACAACAATTCAATCAGTGCATTTGTTTCTGTTAGTCCTTAGTTGTTGATCTTGCGCAAAGCATACACATAATACATGCAAGAGGAGGAAAAAAAGCATGTTTGTAATAATTCGCGATCGGGATAGAGAACAACAATAGCAACAAGAGACATGCCTTCATCCTGTATGTCCGAGGTCGAAGCTCCTTCCGTATCTCAACCATTTTTTGCTCATCCCTGTTCAATCTCAATGACATTAAATATGGATGCAAGAGCCCTGGAGTGTCGAACATCTTAGCCTTCGCTGACAAAATTCCTCCAATCCTCAAGATCCCAAGCGTCGTCCCAGGAACTGGAGCTTCTGTGAGCTTTGTAACCTTGGCTCCTTCCTTCTTGGCAAATGCATTAATGAGCGTAGACTTGCCTGCATTTTGAGCCCCAATAACCCACACATTCCCACGAGGACCAGCCAATTCTTTTATGAAGGAGAGCAGGTTCCTTACACCTAAATCCTTTCGTGCGCTGACCAAATAAACCCCACTTAACTTGGGTGCTCCGGCAGCCCTTGCACGCTGCCGCACCCATCTATCTAGCCTTGTGGGAGAAACTTGAGATGGAAGAAGATCAACTTTTGTTGCCACAAGAACAAGCTTCGGCAGCTTCTTGCTTAGCTTTGGGTCATCCTTGGTTCTTTCCAGTGCCTTGAATAGTGATTTTGCAGCTGTTCTGGGAAAAGAACCGTCAAAATCAACACAATCCACAACCATGACAACTACACTAGCACTACCGCTACCAGAAGATTTCATGAGCCGGGTAGAAATTAACCTATCAAAATCAAAATCCGGTATTAAATTCTCAGCTGTTTGATTTTTCACCTGCCCATAGTTCCTCAATGAATGGCACCGAGCACAGACTGTAACCTCGTCTTTCATCTTCTCAGACTCCCTAGCGATTTTCTTTTTCTCAGCTTTGGACACTTTCTTTTTCTTAGCCCTATTCAGAGTCTCCTCCGTAATGTTACCATACCCTAACCCTGCTGGAGTAAATCCATCCATGCTCAGCTTATCATCCTCGTCCTCCAGTAATTTAGCTTCCCACTCATCAGAATCCCAATCAATTTGATCTGTCAATCCCCCTTTGATTTCTTCAAATTCATTTTCACTTTCATCCAAAAACCCCACATCGTCCTCATCATCATCTTCAACTTCACCCTCATCGAACCCTTCAAGTTCACCATCATAAAGCACATCGTTCTCATAAGAAATTTCTGCTACTTTAAGCTTCCTTTGTTGATAGTACCCGGGAAGGTTTGGGTCTTTATCTTGCATAAAGACTCCGCAGCCAGGGCAAATAGGTCCATGACTTTCGTCTTCATCTCTGCCTTCGCTAAACACGGGGTTTCTACTGTCTTTCCTGGGAGTGACGATTTTCCCATAATTAGACTGATTATTCAATGCAAAACGAATCGATGGCGAGACTTTCTTAAATCGTTTGCGAGTCTCTGTACGAAATTCTGAAGAAAGATGTTTCAGGCAATGGAATCTCAGCAGGAGAGAGAGTAATTAACGCAAATGAAGAGGATTAATGATATTACCTGAGAAATGAGGGATGCTTGGAAGTAGGTGCTCCTGTATAGTGTTACCGGAGGCAAGCTTCAAACTCAGCTTAGTGGAAGTAGAAGGAACTATTATGGTAGACATCAAGATAGCCATATCGTCCCGGTCCAAACTATCAAGAGAATCAATATCTCAATACATGACAATATATTAAACACTAGCTGCAAGTTCGAGGTGAAATGCGGCTCAGAGTTCAAACTCTCAGATAACAGTGCTTCCAACCAGCAAACGCGCCCGAGTTTATCCCAGTTGATAGATTCTCTTCTTCTGTGCCTTTAGCTTCCGTCATGCCCTGCAAGTACGTCGCTGTCCTGAGGGCGGCAACATTGGGCGGCGTTACCTGCACGTTGAAACTGTAATAGAAGTCGGCGGTTGAGGTGAAGGTCTCCGCCGTTATGTTTAGCGATTGAGGCTAGTCGCGCGAGCGAGAGCGAGAGCTGAGGACAACGATAATGAGATTCAGCAGGTGGCGCGCGAGCGGGAGAGGATAAAGATAAAGGAACAAGGGCTTATATTAAAAAATTAAAAAATATGAATATAAACACCCATTTCGGTTCTTTTTTGGTCTGGTCTAGAAAATTTTTGGGACTAGCCTGTCCTGTCCAGTATCACTGAGACCTTTTTGAGAAAATCTATCACATTTTTATCTCACTCAGTACTGTTTAGTCTGCGGCCCTCCAATGGAATCCATTGGAGTACTTATGACCTGTCCAATGCTCAGTTACCTTGAACAAGAACTCGATAGGCGCTTCAAACTTTTCAAACTCTGGAACTACCCCTCATTCTCTGTTTTCGCACAATCAAGCTCAACTTCAATTCGTGCAGTGGTGGGAGATACTAAAATCGGTGCGGACGCCCAGATGATCGATTCGCTACCCAATTTGGAGATTGTCTCTACGTACAGTGTCGGTTTGGACAAGATTGACTTGACAAAATGCAAAGAAAGAGGGATTAGGGTCACCAACACGCCCGATGTGTTGACGGACGACGTTGCGGATCTTGCTATTGGGTTGGCTTTGGCAGTGTTAAGGCGGATTTCTGAGGGTGATCGGTTTGTGAAGAATGGCTTGTGGAAGAAAGCTGGTTTCGAACTTGGTGCAAAGGTTTGCCTATTTCCCTCTAATTGCGTGAAGTTGCCGCAATGGCAATGGAAATTCATTTGCCTTTTGAAATTGTAGTTTAATTCATTGGTTCTGTGAAAGAACCCTCCCGAGATTATAGTTTCATGATGGATTGGTAGCTTTTCTGTTCAAATTTGTTCGAATAAATGCAGCTTATTATTTCCATATTCGAGCATAATATCATTTTGATTAGAAGATGGTACGTTGTACTTCACTCATTAAAAGATTATCTTTTGGTGTTATTATACTATATTTTGTTAGGGAATATTGACAGAACAATTGAGAAATGGAAAACTCACTGTCATGTATTTTCCTGAATGCCTGCACTATTTCTGAAGTTTGCCTGACCTATAATCTTAACACTGGTGCTTCTAATCTAAATTCTCTTGCAATGAGGGAGGATAGGGAGCTTCTAGCTTTTCAATATCTTCTTCCAGATTTCGTATTGAATTATGTTGTGCATTTCAGTTCAGCGGTAAAGCAGTGGGAATTCTTGGTTTGGGAAGGATTGGTTCAGCAATAGCAAAGAGAGCTATAGCATTTGGGTGTCCAGTTAGTTACCATTCAAGAAGTGAAAAACCAGACACAGGGTATAAGTACTACTCCAATATCTTAGACTTGGCAGCCAATTCTGAAATCCTTGTTGTTGCTTGTGCTCTTACCAACGAGACCTATCACATTGTTAATCGTGAAGTTATCGATGCATTGGGACCAAAAGGCATACTCGTCAATATTGGGCGAGGGAAACACGTCGATGAACCTGAGCTTGTGCGTGCACTAACTGAAGGAAGACTAGCTGGGGCTGGGCTTGATGTGTTTGAAGATGAACCAGAGGTGCCTGAACAGTTATTTGGCCTTGAAAATGCTGTGCTCTTGCCTCATGTTGGGACTGACACGATCCAAACCTGCAAGGCAATGGCGGAACTTGTGATTCAAAACTTAGAGGCACATTTCCTCAACAAGCCACTTCTGAATCCAGTAATTTGATTGAGGTCTATGACTTTAGTTTCTAAAATTTTTAAAATGTTTCCCTTTCCAACATTTCATCACACTGAAAATAGGTTCAAACTAGTATTTCTGGAAATTGGCATGTATCATTCTTAGAAATTCAAGAACTTTGATAGAACATGGATGTAGACGAAAGTTATGTAAAGTTTCCTGAGTGAGAGGTATTAGGTTCACTAGCGTTAATACGATGACTTGATATTTTTCACAACTTAGCGCTAAAGTATTGAAGAATTTGATTGCTGATATCTAAAAAACTTGCATCTTTGGCAGCACATTTACATTATGGGATGTTGACTTCGCACCCAGTTGAAAATGTTTCTCACTATGTATTCTGCAGGAGTTCCCTCTGTATGGGATATTGAGTGGTGAAATTGGTTTCGCACCTGGCAGTAACTGCTATTATTGATGCTTCACCAACTTGCCACATTTTTTTTTTTTTCTAATCAGAAGCTGAAGCAATTTAGGGTGAGCAGCTATTTAGAAAAGCCAATTTATTGATACTTTTTACCATGGATCGGCTTGGATGAGCCGACTCACTTTCCCGAAGACTAAAACGGCCCTATGAACAGTGTTTTGTGTTTTGTGGCTGCAAGGAAGCCGTGGTGGAGCCTTGACATGTGAGAACAGTTATTACAGGAATATTGATATATTATTGATTGATTGCTTGATTGGTGATTGATTTCTCCGCATGAACGGTCTTCATAAGGGTGCTGCACTTATTTTCATGACATTAGAAATGGAAGTGGCTGGCCAGTGAAGATTTTGATGCCTTCTGGTTTACTGTCACAAATTTTTTAATTTTATTTTACTCAATTTTTGGGCCAGGATATTTTTTATCGGACTAGAAATCAGTTGTGATTTAAATGATTTTTTTTCTTATTTTAAAGACAACAGTCGGAAAATTTTCATTGATCCTTCTATTATCCTCAAATCTGATCTGTGTTCCCCATTATCAGATTGAAGGACAGTTACAGTTACAGTCACCGTTACACTATCACAGTCTTTTCAGTTTCATGCTTTTAGAGAAGGCAGAAATTATAATACATTAAGTACTAAACATAATCTTTTTCTGGTATATATCTGTCTTTGAAAATCAGATAAATTTTAGATATGTAGTTGTTAGAGCCAGCTATTCTTCAAAACCCAGAAAGGTCCCTGTGTCACTTTATGTATGTCGTTACACAAAAGAAGCAAGAGGAACTGACCCAAGCTGGCACCCAAGAACAGAGACAAGGGATAGGATGAGAGTATTCCAAGCAGGAAATCGCTGCAACGGGCCAAATTCCTTCGTCTTTTTCTCCCTTCAACTTCTAACAACTCTTAGCCTTAAATGCCCTAATAGCATAACAAGCATGCATTATTAAAACTCTCCATCACTCTCCATGATGACATTTATCCAACTAACTGTTGTTGTTTTTGCCCTTTTTTTTTTAAGTTATTATTTTAGTAGTGACTTGATATTATGACAAGTATTTTAATTTAAGATGAAATTAGTTTTATTGATGATTGTTTTCCATTGCACTTTAATTTATTTGTAAGCGATATTTAAATGATGCGAAGGAAAGATTTCCTGCAATAAGGATCTTCGGCTGATGTAATGCTGATATCACGTTTTGTTTTCCTTTGAAGATACAAGGCCATGAATAATTATGACATATTGGGTTATTCCCATATCTGCCGTCCGTACTATTATATATGTAGTTCTTGGTTGGACACCATTTAGTGGCCTTTTGATTAGATCGTACTGCATGGTTATGTTTTTGGCCACTAAGCTATTCTATTATCTTCTGTACATATCTAACTAATCTGATTATATTAAAAGAATTAAATAATTTAGTTAATTATAAGAAACATAATATATTTTTTTCAAAACACTATAATTATTTTTCTTAATACTCTTTCTCTCTCTCTCACTTGATTATAATTGAGGAAGTATTAATGAGGATAATTGAAAAAAATTTATAAATATAAAAAATAGCTCTTACATTTAAGATTAAAATCAACTCAATAATTAAATCATATATTAAAAAACGAATACATGATTAGTGGAATCTATAGGTGACATATTTTTAACCACAAAAGGCTTAACTTGCCAATCAATTTATTATTTTTCGGGTAGCGTTAGCAAAATTAGTCAATTTTTTATTTAATAAAATTTTTGTTTGGGTTTAAAGAGTAGACGCCAACATATTACAATTATAATCAAACTCACGACTTCCCATATATAAGATACTCTTTCGGTCTTAAATATAAGACCCTTATACTAGTGTACATAAAGGTTTTATATTTAGGACCGGAGAAATAGTATTTTATGCCATTAAACCGTGAGTTAGGCTTATTTAGCTAAATTCGGTTCAAACTTCAAAATGATGATTTTGACCATTCTATATTTTTTAACTTTATGAAGGTTGGCTGGCCTTAGAATTTAATTTATTTATATGACGCTGGTCCCATTTCTTAAACATCCTGTTCATTCTTGTGCCATGTTTCATTAAATCCCTTCTTAGCGTGACATAAAATATGCTTAATTCTTGTAACTTTTTCAAATATGCAACATCAGTTAATTGACTTATGCATTATGTAATTTGTTACATTTATGATTTTCTTATTTATTAACGTTGTCTGTATTAAGTAGCGAGTAGTCAAGTTGATCTTTTCTACACATATTTCTTAATTAAAGGGATTATATCATGCATCAATTATTAACATTCAAAATATTTACATATCTTCTGCATTAAGTTTTAGCCAAAGAAAAAGACATTACCCAAACTCAAGCTCTTTTTTTCTTTCAAATATAAGATGGAGTGATATACCTCGACTTAAGACTGCGTACGCTTCTCACTTCAAAATTAAAGTTGTAGCAACAAGCAGAATTAAATAGACGCTGACAAATATGCCGTGACCCACAGTCTGATTAGATCACATTTTCCATATATTAAACAAACTAAAGTAAGCTGCCGACACTCACCAGCCAGCCTCCTCTGTTTCTGTCTGTTTATGAGGTTCTGGTCACTTCTCTCTCTCACTAATCATCATCCCTTACCTTCTTTACTCTTCAGCAGCATTTTATCCTCTTCGTTGGGCATTCTCACTTCTTCATTCCATGCACTCATGCACACTGACACAGTGACACAGAGAGAGTAAAAAGCACAGAACTTTCTGGGTTTTGCTTTCTGGGTTATATTCATTTTGTTCAGAACTGTTGAAAAAATTTTCTAGGTGCCACTCAATGTCCGTGTAATTGTCAAAGTTAGCTCCTTTTCCTGGAAATAGTCTTTCACTAACTGGGGTTTTGGTTGAAATCCCCTTCTTTATCACCATCATCATCATGCTTTCGGCGAAGTCAGAATCAGATATTACGAGTTTAGTATCTTCTTCACCTTCAAGGTCTCCCAAACGACCTGTATACTACGTGCAGAGTCCGTCAAGGGACTCTCACGATGGGGACAAGTCGTCGTCAATGCAAGCGACTCCTATATCCAATAGCCCTATGGAGTCTCCTTCACACCCTTCTTTTGGGAGGCATTCAAGGAACTCGTCTGCGAGCAGATTTTCTGGGATTTTCAGGTCATCTTCAGGCAGAAAAGGAGGAAGCAGAAAGAGGAATGACAAGGGCTGGCCTGAGTGTAATGTGATTATGGAAGAAGGTGAATATGATGAGCTCAAAGAATTGGCCTTCACCAGACGAGTCCAGGCTCTGATTGCTCTGTTCAGCTTCGTTGCTCTCTTCACTGTCTTCTGCTTGATCATTTGGGGTGCTAGCAGGCCTTTCAAGACAGAGTTTACCGTCAAGGTCAGTCTAAATTCAAAACAATATCCTTCAATCTCACCACTAGAATTTCTGATTCCTGTGGATTTTCTGCATTTTCATAGTTACAATTTACTGTCTCTTTTTACTAAAACTGTCTATAAACTAAGTTGATAAAGTTATTGAAGTAACTAAAGGTGTCTTGGAGAAGGACGAAAGGGAAAACAAGGAAGTACGGTTACTAGTTAGTCTCAGAATTTCTGGTTATGGATAGCAAAGTACGGTTACTAGTTAGTCTCAGATTTCTGGTTATGGATAGCAACCTTATCATATTAGGATGCACTGTGACACTATTTTGCAGAGCTTGACAGTACATAATCTGTATGTTGGGGAAGGTTCAGACTCCACAGGAGTACCAACAAAGTTGCTCACAATAAATGGATCATTGCGGATAAATGTGTATAACCCTGCCACTTTTTTTGGAATCCATGTTCATTCCTCTCCCATCAATCTCCTCTTTTCTGATATCACAGTGGCATCTGGTCAGGCGAGTAACATCATCATTTATTACTGATTTACCAAATTCAAGCAATTAATATAACACACAATATATATATATATGTATCTAATTGTTCATGATGTGTTTGGATGCAGCTAAAGAAGTATTATCAGCCCAGAAAAAGTAAGAGAGTTGTATCAGTGAACTTGGAAGGAAACAAGGTTCCACTATACGGGGCTGGATCAACTATTACACCGTCCCAAACAGGGTTGTTGTTCCTCTCACACTGAAGTTTGAGATGAGTTCAAGAGGAAATGTAGTTGGCAAACTTGTGAGGGCAAAGCGCTACAAGGAAATTACTTGCCCTTTGGTTCTCAACTCTTCCAGATCCAAACCCTTCAAGTTCAAGAAGAGTTCTTGCATCTATCAATGAGTTTTCTTTTTGTGTTGTGTTGTGAGTTGTGGGCCTTTTTGTGCAAATTAATTTATGGTTGTAAATTGTGAAATACGCATAAGCATGAAATGTTGGATCTGTATGTGATTTTGATTGCTGGTGAAGAAGCCATTTAATGATCTTTTAACGTCTGGTTTATATACACACACAAAATTTCTCATCCTAATTATAAGAATAGTTGACTAATTTAAAAAGATTAAGGAAAGAAATTAAGTTAGTTATTTGTAATAAATAGGTTTTGTCTTTTCTAAAATATCCTTGCTAATCAAGTGTATTAGCTAGAATTACTATTGTTAGAAAAATTATATTGGAAAAAAATACATAAATATGAAAGACAAAGTGGATTGGGATCTTATATTTAGGATCAAGATAAAAATCAAACATTTAAACAAGATCTTATATTAAAGACAGGAGGTCGTGTGTGTGTGTGTGTGTGTATATATATATAATGGCAGACCATGAAAGACCCACCTTTAATAATTTAGAGAAGAGAAGATCATTTACCCGGAGGAAAAAAAAGATCGATCCCACCACATGGCCACTCAAAAAGATTATTTACGTTAACTTCTTCGTATCTATTGTGTCAAGTGTCAATTGTACCAAGTCTCATGACTTATGGACATTGTACTTTAAATGTTGTTTTAATATAATTGTCTTTTTATAAAAAAAATAAAAATAAAAATAGAAGATATAGAATGGAGCAAGCGGTAGAGAGAGAATTTTTTTTAATGGGTCCCTTTTTTTTGTTACAATTTTAATGAATCTTTTGTTTCAAGAGTTTCAGTTAAGTAAACGTTGATGGAAAAAAATTAGGGACTTAATATTTTAGTCGAAGATGTTCCTCAATAATTTCAAACAAAATTAGATAGTCGATTTCAAAATATGTTATAATATTTTCTTCATGATTTAGACATATCAGAAGAAACCTAATAATCTGCGAAATAATCCAATATATCAAAACCTGTCTAATAATAAATTCTCTCAAGGGGGAAAAATTAGTCTGCAAAATGACCAATGATTTTTCATAACGAATTAGATTGGAATTTTTTTTTCCCTTTTTTTTTGGAGTAAACGTTGCAAAATGACAAACACAGAACACTGAAAAAACCTAAGATTTTAGGCCCAGACGGCCCAATAAAAATTGGCAACGTTTACTCCAAAAAACAAAAAAAGAATTACCTGTATGTACCGATCTCAGAGCCGCCCATGAAATTGAGCATCAATATATTAATTTCACAATTTGCCCTTAGAATGCGAAGGATGACACACGGTTTAATATAATGATTAGTCCTCATAGTTTATATTTATTTTAATTTTGGTCCCTAAAGTTTGAAATTCTTGGTTTTCGTCCTTTAAATTTACATTGTTTAAAACGATGGTCCTTGGTCCTTGCGTTTTCAGAAAGACTTAGGCTTAGATTCAGCTAGTGAAGGGGTCGGACTCTCTCACCAAAGGGAGGGGGTTCGATCCTGGGGAATGCCACTTTGTTGTGGCTCCAGTCGCGGCGCTGGGGGAGGCATCTCCACAAGCGTAGTGAAGCTGGGTGATTCCTACCTTTGGGCCAGAAAAAAAGGGCTTGCTTGTCATGCTCCCGTACCCATAGGGACAGGCCCCAGTGGATCAAGCGTTAGGAGCCCTGCCCTTGGATCGTGGGTGAGCCCGACCCCTTTCCTAAAATTTACTTATAAAAAAAAAAAGACTTAGGCTTAGATTTAACAGCGTCAAATATGCTTATGCGTTACTAGCACTGTTAAAAATACTGAGGTGGACACTGACCGGCCTATATGTCAATATGACATGGCTTTTAAGAAGGAAAAAATGGCCCTCTCCTCGCCCTTAAAAGCAAGGTCCTCCCCAACGGTGCAAAACATTTGCTAGGATCATCTTGCATGATAGACTTACAACTAGCAAAACGAAGCAACGAAGGAATCTCCATCCTACTGGCAACTGTGATAGATGCAAGCTGTTTGAGGAGGACTGCGCTTCATGCACTAAGAGATTGCAAAGAGACTAGGGAGTTATGGAGAGATATAATAAAACCGTCTTACTGCAACAGGTTTTTCTCAGGCTCTTTGACTGAGTGGTTTCATCTGAATATGAAGTGCTCGGTGAGTCAACAAACTGGGTACTGGAAAGGCCTCTTTGTTATCATTTGTTGGCTTATCTAGCGAGATCGAAATGATCGGGTACACAATAATTCTTGTGCTGACATCTCCAGCATTCAAATTTTGCGTGGTATGGGAAGCGCACATGCCAAATTGGCAGGAACTAATCTGTCAAAAACTAAGAATCGTGACAGTCCTAGAAGGTTTTCTTCTGATGACTGTGAAGTTTGTGCTTGTGGAGGTGTTCTCAAAGATATTAATGGGTTAGTCACGAAAGGCTTCTAGCTCAGATGTCATACGGGCGACTCGCTATCTGCAGAAATTTGGGGCTGTCTCATGGGCCTTAAACGTGCTTGGGATGGTGGTTGTAAGAACATCCTCCTCGGGTGTGTATTCGCAAGAAGCTTTGCACCTGATACAAAATGAACTACCGGATCTACATGAGGATTCTCAACAAATCAAAGAAGTCAGAAGCGTGATGAATCGAAGTTGGCACGTGGCTCTGGTCTATCTTGACAGGGATGATAATGGAATAGCAGACTGCCTAGCTAAGGCCGCCTTATCAAACTGCTATGGCCTCCAGATTCTTGGTCCAGAGGCTGTGAAGTACATCATGCAAGTAGCTACTGGAACTTAATTTTTTGTGTGTTTCTTGTTTCAGCTCTTTGTTTTTTACTTCCAGAATGTCAAAAAAGCAAGCTCAGGTCCCCCATTGAGTACTTTCGCTATATGCATATTGATTCGATGAAAATTACAGAGATTCCACAGCCATATAGTATAAAATTATATATACAAGGAGGATTCCAAGAAATATATAATTGATTATTGAAGGCCTGGGAGATTGGAATAGTACTCTAGATTATTAGTGGTAGCCCTTATGTTGTTAATGGGCACTTTGGTCTACTTTGTTTTCCTATTACAAACAGGGCAGGTCCTCCTCACACTCATGACAAACGTATGGTCCTTTGTCTGTCACTTTTTTATTTCATTCCTCACATACAGAAGTGTTGGAGTTGGGTCCTTCTTCTATCTTTAGTTGAGTTTCACAATAAGTGGAAGGGTGGAGGTGCAATCACGTGAATAGAAGATCGGCGAAGGTGTTGTCAGCATATACAAGCACCATAGGTTCCAAACAACAAAGAGGAACACTGTTCATCATCATCTTCGCTGGTGAACCAGTGACGTCGACCATGAGAGGAGGAGAGAGGAGAGAACCATTCTTCTTCATTGTTTGAGTTTAAGTTTAAGCTGAGTCGTCTTCATAGGAGAAGCAACGACGTGGTCGACTAGGAAGGGCAAATTGAGAGCTTCCCCCCCCCCCTAAAGCCATGTCATATAGTTCAGTCAGCATCCACCTCAGTAGTTTTAACGGTGTTAATAACACATATGCATGTTTGACGAGTCTTTCTAAAAATACAACAATCAACTTTTTAAACGGAGTAAACTTAAAAGACTAAAATCAAGAGTTTCAAATTTAAAAGATCAGAATCAAAATTAATATAAATCGTAAGGACTAATCATTATATTACCTTAAAATACATAATAAAATCAACAAGTTGTTGATTGAGATTGTCGGTAGCCTTATTTCTATAAGAAGAATACAAATTTAAATTTCGGGAAGCATATTTATTAAGATGACTTTCATCTTAATACTCCTGATCTAAATATACCTTGAGTTGGGGGAAAAAAAAGCAGAGATAAATAACAAAGGTACCAAGTTTCTTTTTGTTGGCCAAAAAAGGTGCCAATTTTATTTCCTGATAGAAGTACCTGATAAATTATGTTAAGTTGTTTGATTTTCTAGATGGTTTTGTCATTATATTTAAATTTTAGCCGGTGGAGGCGCAGAGATTTTCAAAACCCATGTACTCTTTCTTTTCAATCTGCTCCACCATTTCTGCTATGCCCACGCCACCTGCAAATAATTACATTAAAAAAGAAAGCAAGACATAATACGAATTAATTAATAAGAATTTGATAGTATTTAAATAATAATTATTAATTAATAAGGATACTTGCCTAGTAATATTGCACTCACAAAAACCGTGGAGGCTAAAATGAAAATGATCAAAGAAGCTCTGCCTATTATGGCTACCAGCTTCTTCACCAAATATTGTCCTGAAACTGCGGCTATAACGGCTACTCCCGCAAAATAAAGTGCTGCAAAAAGTTTTGGTTTTTTTTTTTCAAGAGTACACATATAAAAATAGATTACTATAATATACTACCTCCAGTCCTTAATATAAGACCCCATTTGACTTTTTATTTGGTCCTAATTATAAGACCCTAATCTATCTTTTCTCTCATATTTATGCATTTTTTTCCAAGATAGTCCTTCTAATAATGATAGTTCTAGCTAATACACTTAATTAGCAAGGATATTTTAGGAATGACAACACTTATTTATTATAAATAATTAACTTAACTTACTTCCTTAATCTCCTCAAATAAGTCAACTAGGTCTTATAATTAAGACCAGAGGTAGTATATAAGCAGCGAAAATAATTATCAGTAATCTTTGTTAAATTTATATACTTACTGTAAGGAATTGGAAATCGTTTCAGAAGGTAATATTCCACCACCGACATTGATGCAGAAAATGCCATGGCAAAAGTCGATGTGGCACTTGACACCTGCATATAAGTATAGGACATCAAAAAGATGTATATAATTAAATTAAATCAGTTAATTGTTAAAAAAATGTTAATTTCTCTAAAATATGCCTTTTAATTGTTTGTATTGGGAATTACTTTATTAATGTAAATTTCTCTTAATAGGCGCAATCAAAAGAAAAGTTTAAAGAAAAATGAGAGAAAATCATTCTCAAGTCATAAGAAAAGAATATAAGCACTAAAAATGCCAATGACAAAAGAGTAGCATATACCTTGTTATAATTTCCTGTATTAAAACTTGTTACGAGACTTTTTAGTAATTACATTCTTTTCTTAGAATCTTATTGTGATCCCAAAAAATTACTCCTCTGGTCCTTAATATATGACATAATTGTTGAGTTGGTTTTGGTCCTAAATATAAGACATATTTCTCATATTTATCAATTTTTTTCTAAATTACCCCTATAGACACTTCCTCAACCATAATCAAGTAAAAGAGAAAAAGGGGGTATTAAGAAAAATGATTATGGTATTTTAGGAAAAACGTGTCACATTTCTTATAATTAATTAACTTACCTAACTTTCTTAATCTAATCAAATTAGTTAAATGGATCTTATATTAAGGATCGGAGAAATATAAATTTAAAAAATAAAGTGGATCGATATATTATACTACCTCCGGTCCTTAATATAAGAGCTAGTTAACTAATTTAAGTAGATTAAGAAAGTTTGCTAAGTTAGTTATTTGTAATAATTAGGTATTGTTGTTCCTAAAATACCTTTGCTAATTAATTGTATTAACTAGAACTACTATTATTATAAGGACCATCTTAGGGGGAAAAAAGGATAAACATAAGAGACAAAGTGAATTAGGATCTTATATTTAAGACCAAAATAAAAGTCAAACGTGTTCTTATATTAAGAACCGAAAGTAGTATTATTTAGGACGAAATCAAATCTCTCTGCGCATTCTTATACATCTATAACCAAAGAGAGTATATACCTCAGGAGGGATTCCCAGCTCAAGGAAAAGGGGACCTAGGATGAAGCCACCACCAAGGCCAAGCAAGCCACCAACAATACCAGCAGCTAGGCCACTGGCACAATACACGATTAATTGATTCACTTTCCATTTTGGCCGTGGTCCTTCCATTGATGCCATCCGTCTCCTCCCTTGATACAACATCACTGCTTGGTATGATGTCACTCCCACTGTCACTGGTATCTGATCATTATTCACTCCCCAAAAAACTCATATTAGATTCCAACTAATCCAATTCGAGTCAAGTAGCTAGGGCAGCAATGGCTGTCAAGCTCTCCTAATTCAAAATAGACTAGCTAGCTACTACATTCGACTCTAAATTACACTACAAACTAAATCTTATACACGTACCTGTAGCAGATTCAATACCCAATATGCTACTGAACACGTTACTGTGCAACTCTGTTGCAAAACCATAAGTTATGTTGGTTAGCATGCATGGAACCAAAATGCATGGGAACTATATATATATATATATGAGGTTGAAGGGTATCGACTTTTGCAATTTGTATGGCGAGTATGATGAACCAAACAGTGAAAAGAAGCCCTAGTTCCTTCCATCGAACGTTCTCTATAAGAGAAACCTGCATGAAATTAAACCATTAATACGTCTACGTACATTTATATCGACATTCTCTCGAACTAAACAATTAATACTAATTGCTTCATCGGGGTATACATATATATATAATATATATTATCTCTTGTTGTTAATATAAGAACTAGTTGAAAATTCAATTTGGTTCTAAATATAAAATCTCAATCTATTTTTTTTCCAGTATCTATCTATTTTGTCCCCAAGTAATCTGTGATCATGCATGATAAGAAGTTTTTATGAAAAGATAATTTCAAGGTACACAAATGATATATCTATATAAAGATATTTCAGGCAAGACAATATTATAAATAACTAATTTAGCTAATTTTTTTTATTAGTTATCTAGCTCTTATCACAAGTACCGGAGGCAGTAATACTAAAGCAATAGACGATGATATACTGATCTCTAGCTTCTGACCTTTTCTTTCTTTGGTTGTTGATCTGTGGCTTCTCTGCGATTGCCGTCGCTTGGACCTGGTGGCAGAGCCTCGTATCCTCCGGCCTCTTCTTCATTCCTCTCAATACTATCTAGCGATCACAAGTCAAATTTATTTAACCTCATTATTCCATTTAATATACATAGTTAATGACTTTCATGCATTTATCTATTGTGTAATATTATTACCTCCTGTACTAAATATAACATCCACTATATATATATAAAGTGGTGGATTTTATATATTTATTACCGGAGCTAGTAAAATCATAGATGAGTTTATATCTGATCATTTCTTAATTACCAATCAATGGTGGAGCCTGTCTAGCAGCAGTCTCCTGAAATCATAATAAGGAATAAGGCATCAAAATGAAGTTCCAAAACATGAGAAGATTAAGAACATCGCACATGAACAATGTATGATCAGTTCGAAAGAGGACGAAGAGAGTAACCTTAAGAATGGTCTCTTTTTTCCAGGTCTCAACGCCCCTTGAGAAAGCCTTAGTTGAAACGACTGTTGAATGAAACGAACCCAGACACGTGAATGGCAATTAATTAAAAACATGATGCATATAATTATATACTATCTTTGGTGCTAAATATAAGAGCCAATTAGAGATTTAATTTGATTCTAAATATAAAACCCTAATATTCATTTTGCCTCTCATAATTACTCATTTTTGTTCAAAATAATCCGCATGGTGATTGCATATGTTAAAGAGCAATTTTCATTTTAATACACATAATTAATAAGAATATTTTAAGAAAAACAACATGATTACAAATAACTAATATTTAATTAATTTTTTAAATATTCATAAATTAATTATCTAGCTTTTATATTAAGTATCAAAAGTAGATTATTGCAGGGCTGGTTGAGATTTAGATATACCAAGGAAAACGACAATTAACAAAAGAGTAACCATCCAATCAGCCAAAACGACGTTCAAAATGACTCCAATACTGATTCCGAGCACCAACATTGGCTGAATGAGAAGAGCCAAATCATAGTCTATCAAAGGAAGCTCCATTGTTGGATGTCTTCGATTTAGATTGTATACCACTGTTGCGCCTGCTCCTCCTGTTACCATGCCTGCAATATAATATTACACACAAATTACACAATTCCTTATACATTATTAATTACATCAAAAACCAAAACCCACCTCGTACCACCTTTATTTCCATAAACAATTTTTCTTGTAAAAAAAAAATCAATACATTGCATCTTTCCATTTTACGAAAAATATAAAGGGATTGTTTGGTAATTTAAATATCTCTCACAACGAGAAAAAAGATAATAAAATACTTCAATAAAAATTTAAAAAAAAATTCTCATGTGGAAATTATCTCCCAAACATACTCAAATGATTTCTTCCTATATTTATATATGTATAATGAACTTATTATTGTAACAAAGGAAAATTCATTTTTCAAAAAAAGAAAAGAAAACTCAAACGAAAATATAATTTTGCTTAGTTAAGAAACCATTATATTCAACTATTGAATGCATCTAGAAATTATTCTTATTTTCATTTATAATTGTAAGTGTCTTATTCTAAGATCGTGGAATTAAAATGCCTTATTTTTTCCCCCAAAGAATAATACTTTTCCGTGCCTATTTGCCTTTCCTCATGGGGGAAGAGCGCATAGATAAAGGAGAAATCAAGATCTATGTATAATACGTAATAGTTTGGCCAAAAAAAAAACAAAAAGATCTATGTATAATACGTAATAGTAATTATTTTTTCTGTTTCAATTTTGCCCTCTATTTAATGTTCCAATATTTCAAATCCTAACTGCCTTTGCAGTGCAGTAGCAGGAGTATATTATTAAAAATAGAAAAAATTGTAATTAGGTCCCACCCAAGAAAATTAAATACAAAAAAGTCCTTTGAAATTATACAATTATTCTGAAGTCCCAATGGACTTATTTGCAATAAATTTTATTTGTTTAATTACCAAATTATCCTTTTTTTTTTAAGTTTGCAATGACAACTGAAAGAGCAGTGGTTGACAACTTAAGGTGCAAAAATTGACAACTATCGCGGTTGGTTTGACAACTTATGGTGTGATATGCTGAGAAAATGTATTGTCAAACCAGCCGTGATAGTTGTCAATCCTTGAACCCTAAGTTGTCAACCACTACTCTTTCAGTTGTCAATGCAAACTTAAAAAAAAAATTTGGTAATTAAACAAATAAAATTTATTGTAAAAAAGTCTCTTAAGATTTCAGAATAATTTTATGATTTCAAGAGACCTTTTTGTATTTAATTTTCTTGGATGGGACCTAATTATAATTCTTCCTTGAAAATAAGTAATATCATGCATTGAAATTTCGAACATGATATATATTTAGGAGAAAATAAAAAATTAAATTAAGACTAATAAATAGTCTCGGAAAAGTATTTTTTATCACATACTTCTCTAGTCCTATTTATAGGGTAGAGAGAAAATACATTTTTTTATCCTATTTATAGGACAATGAGAAATTTTTTTTATATATATACAATTTTACCCTTCGTTTATTGCTATATATAACTTTGTTTACATAAGATATAATATATATTAAATATGAATAAAATTAAAAAATTATTAAATTTTAAATAAAAATTAATAAAATTTAAGGTTTTTCTTAGTCTATATAGAAGATATTGAAAATGACCCGTGAATAGGACTAGCAAAGTATGTTTATCCACACACACACATATCATGTAACCTGTGGTGTAAATGCTAGAATACATACAAGAGAAGGCGTATAAAAAATAAAAACAAGAAGTGATGAACCACCGGAAGACGGAAATTAGAGTGTGGATAGGCCAGGTTCCGTAAAAAGTGCAGAAGCATTAAATAAAATAAATGTCTGGATCTTACATTTAGAGATAGCTGTAGCTGATTTTCCATCAAATCCAATAATCAATTTAAGCATTGGCACAAATATGCCTCCCCCACCAATTCCACCCACCGTCCCAAACGCCGCTCCAAGGAATCCTATTGTGGTTCCCACCACAATCCTCCATCCAAATTTCATTTTCTGCAGAAACCATACACAATCTTTTCTTCTTCAACGTACATTTGAAATCGAATCATATCAAGCACAACTGAAATGAAAATCAGAAATCTCCGAGCATATATATACTTACAGGCCATATGTGATGGTATCCCAACCTGCTTGGTGACGATGAGGGTCTCATCAAGTTGAATACTTTCTCAAGAAACTTAGCTTCAACCTCGTTTATGTCATTGCTTGATGAACTTGCTATCTGGGTTCGGTTTTGATGAGCTGAAATGGAGCTTGAGACTAAAACCAGAATCAGTATCAACCTTGTAGTCCACCTGTTTGATGTATTGTCAGCCATTTTGTGCTAGCTTCTATCCCTTCTGTTTTTCTTTCGGTTTCTGCAGGTTCTTAAAACCCCAGAAAGAACAGAAAAGGAGAAAGCTTTTTGGCGGACTTGATCAAACCAAAATTTTGTTTTGATCGTAGGCTTTATAACTTCGAACCCATTGGCACACTCAAACAAACTAGACAGCTCTGCAAGTTCTTCAAGTAGAGAGGTTGGTTTAGAAGTAGAAAACTCAGACTGTGATTTTGCCCTCCCCTCTCTCTCAAATTTTTGTAAGTAGTAACACTCCTTTCTCATTTAAATGCTTGTTTTTGGCGGTACATGTGGTGTACAACGCCTTAATTCTAGTTATCTCTCAATTCCAATATATATATATATATATATATATATATTTTAAAGAAGCAAGAGAGAGCTGCAAAAAATCTCAAGGGGCTAAGATAATAAAACGGAGGTTCTTGACTATGGCTGTAAGATATAACTACCAGCTCAAACTCTACCAGTCCTTCTTCTTCTTCTTCCTCCTCCTTAATATATCTCTCTTCTTGTGTGCCATCATTTTCATGTGATGGATTTCCTGCTTCGTCTCTGCTTTCGGCAGTCCCCACACTTGTCGGCCATTGAAAACCCAGAATTTGTTCTTTTAATCTTCTTCTATGGTTTTGAAACATCGGCATAAAATATAAACATATAACAAGCTATATTATTCATAATTTATAAATAATACTTCTCATTTCCTTCGTATAAAACTCAATTAACTAATTTAAATAGATTAAGCGTGTTAGTTATATTGGTTAATATGATTTTTTTTTTGTAAAACACTCTAATAATCTTTTTTAATTCCTTTCCCCCTTCTCTTACTTGATTATTATTAGAGAATATTAATAGAGTTAGTTTGGAAAAAAAAAAGTATTAAGCATATTAAATAGATCTTAGATATAGGACCAACATTAGCTCCAATAATAAAAAGAAGGTTTCTTCAATTTATGTATAACTTAAAATGAATTATTTTATTCACAACTTATTCATGTTACATATTCACAATTTATGTTAAAGCATAAGCTCTGTATGTTATGTTTGCGTAAAATTTTATTCTAATTTCTTAAATTTATATAATATGTTTTTGGTACTTTAATTTTAATATCGTTAGTTTCATCTAATTAAAAATGCTGACTCATCAAATTTAAGTGATGGCTATAAACTAAAACGCTGAAAAAACTTACTTGCATCTTAACCTTTATGATGTGATATTGTTATATTTGAAGTCATGTAAATTTATAAAAAAAAAATCAAAACAACTCTATCTTTTGCGGATACTTTGTCAACATTTAATTATACATTAATCACTTAAGTTTGATTAATCAACATTTTCTGTTGAAATAAAACTAACGGTGCCAAATTTGGAAGACTAAAACTATATCTTATAAATTTAAGGATTAAAATGAAAATTTATATAAATATAAACGATTAAACGTACGTTTAATTTTAGCCCATAATATTAAAAAAAACAAAATAAGAGACCAGAAAGGGCTGGAACTTTTATTGAACGGGGAAAGAGCGTGACCAGTCCAATTTCAAATCTGAACACCCACGTGGTGGCGTGGTGCCCTGAAAGCTGACAAGGAACAATTAAGGCTCATGACAGAATGGTAAAAATATCCTATAAACACATTTTATATAAATCGAGATGAAATTCTTTTTACATACTTATCTTATATTCTATAAATCACTACTGCCTCCGGTTTAAAATATAAGTTAAACTTTATCTATTGTGTTTATCAAAAAACTAATTAAAATAAATTTAAAACAATAAATGTGTAAGGTATATATTTGTTTTTCCTAATATACCTTTATTAATGAAGAGAATAAGTAAAAAAAGTAATAAATGAATTAAAGATGAGAGAGAATATAGGGGGTAAAATTGAAAAAAAAATTATTAAATGCTTGAACAAAAGTGAATGTTATTTTATAAATAAAAAAACCAATCCTTTTAAGAAAGTTTAGCTTATATTTTGAATCGGAAGAATTATTAAAAAATTATTTATAAGCTATTTCAAACCGGTCCTAAATTGAGTTAGAGAGAGAAAGAGTCACGTATTATAAGATCTGCAGAGATAAAATGTAAAGCTGAAGTATTCAGTATGTGTTTATTGAGTAACACCTAATATGTTACAATAATTTTCAGTAGTATTTGATATTCTAATTTTAAAGTATTTGTTGCTATTCAGAAAAATATTTTAGGAACAAAATTACATCAAAAATTAATTCAAACTGAAGCAGTCACTGAAAAACATAGGAAAAATGACAAAAAAAGACCACTGAAATAGAAAAATTGCACAGAGAGACCTATTTATAAAAATTGTTGTCGAAACCCATAAGATTATTATCAAAACCCATACTAATGTTATCATGGGTCTCTATTTATAATTTTTCTATTTTGGTCATTTTTCTAAAAAAATATTTCAGTCTGCGAACGTGATTTAATCCTAAAATATTACATTTATTTTTCCATGGGCAAAATTAAATTCACCCTCAATAAACAATTACCAATAGTTATGATAATAATAAGAGTAAATATATATATCCGGCATTCTAAACTATTTTCATATATGTGTTCAGCGTCCTAAAAGTATTTAATACTACCTGTAATTCTTAATATAAGAGCTAGATAATCAACTGATTTGTGAATATTAAAAAATTAATTAAATTAATTATTTATAACAAATAAATATTGTCTTTGTTAAAATACTCTTATTAATCATGTACATTAATCAAAAACTTTTTTTATATAAAAATCTTTTAACATGTGAATCACCATTAGGATTACTTGGAAACAAAATAGATAAATATGAAATATAAATTAAATTAAAATTTTATATTTAAAAAAATTATTTTACAACTAATTTTTGTATTAATGATTAGAATTTGCTTTCAATATGTTAAAAATAGAGCTGTTCCACCCCGAAGTAACGGAAGCTTAACCTTCATTTCCCCTATTTGATAGCTGAGCAATTTTGCTTCCATCATCAAAACCTTATTTTTTGTAAGCAGTTTTTTAATCATAATTTATAAAATAGGAGATAAATATAGAAAATAAGTTTTGTTTTGACTAACATAAAACATACATATAAGTGATTTTAACAATGATGTTAAAATGGACCTTAATTAACACACATCTGGTCTGCGCGATGGCCCGGGCAAAAATGAAACATGAAAAAAAAACGAGAATATAGGCGGCCGAATAGTCCATTTCATTCATAGAAATATATCCCTTTTTTTATTTTTCAAAGGGCATTATATATAATAATTTGTTGCAAAAAAGAAAGAAAGGAGAAGAACATTTTGTTCTCTACAACCCTCCATTAATGTTGAGGTCTGTAGTGGAGGGAGATGGAAGATTTGATTGGTCATGATCAATCAAGTTTTTGATTATGTTTTAGTGCTGTATAAGTATTGTATTATATATGTGTGTGTGGAAATTTAGCTCAAATTAGTTAATGTTTTTAAATTTTGGAGAATTATTCTAAATAAAATTTATTAATTATATAAATCACTATTACCAATTCCCTTTTGACAAATAACCTAGCATCATCTACAATACTTCCTTTAACCCTATTTATAAGTTTTAAATTTAAAAAAGAACATTGTCTATTTTATAAGTTTCAATTTGAATTTGTCTTAGCATTTAATACATTTTTATTAATATTTCTCTTAATTATTTCTCTTTTATCATATTTTCCCATATATTCTCTTTCATCTTGTTTCTCATTTATTATAATTTATAAGGGTATATTTGAAAACAAAAATATATTTTTAATCTATTTATTAGTTTTAACAAATTTTAATTATTTATCTATTATTTTTGAATTATTTATTTAAAATATATAATAAGAATAAGAGGGAGTATTTTTAAAAGAATGGAGACTGTCACACCTCCTTGTTAAAAAGATTAATGTCTTCCATATCATCTAATGGTGGCTTTCATTTATTTTCACGTTTTTTTTTAATTTTTAAATTTTAATAAGCTATTTATATAATAATAAAATGCCTGACAAAACCGTTCACGTTAACCTAAGGTAGTGTTTGGATAAAAACCAAACCATAGTTTCAGAAGTGCTTTTACGAATTACGAAGTAAATATGTGGAGGAGGTTACCTCGTTTTACGGAAAAGTGCTTCTGAAACCACGGTTTTGGAGCACCCAAACAGAGCCTAAGTCCCGCCTTCACCTAACAAAACGAGCATTATTATTGTTATTATTTTTTAAAAAAAGGCCAGAAGGGTAGAAATAGCAACCTGCCACACCTGAACATCCTATCCACTGCACTGAAAAAGTTGATTGAACCAGAGAAAAAGTCACGTTCATAACACCTCTAAAAATAAAATATGAGCGGCCATAAATTTTGTCTAGAAAATTGTGTCAAATTTCTAAAAAATTTAAATTTATTAATATGTGATGACATATTTCACCATAAAAAATGATGGCTTTTCACTTATTTTTGAGAATTTCTTATAATTATTTTTTGCCCTAAAAACTCACAATAACCCTCTCAACTCCTCTTTCCCTATCGGCTATCATTTTCTCTCGTCGCGGGCAAATAAAAAGCCGAATATCGGTAGCCGAATAACCCATTTCATTTACATAAATATATTAGATATCCTATTTAAAAATATTAAAAAATTAGTTAAGTTAGTTATTGAAATATCTCTTTAATTATTAAAATATTCCTTGGTAGAATTTTTAGAATCAATAGAAATATTTTTTAAAAAATAAATTAAAATATTATATTTATAACAACGTTTAATCTCTCAATTAATTCTTATATTAAATATTAGAGGAAATATTTAATATTTAATTATGACCCTCCGCCACTCCATTGGTGAGACTGTAATCGTGATGGAGGGAGACGAATGGTTCGACAGGCCTATGACCTATCCCTCCATTTTATTTTTTATTTTTTTAGTGTTATATACTTAGATAAGTAATACTCCTCCAGTCCTTAATATAAGACTCGATTATTAAGTTAGTTTTGGTCATAAATATAACACTCATTCCTCATATTTATTAATTTTATCTAAATTACCTTTATGGATATTCTCTTAACCATAATCAAGTAGTAGAGGAAGATGGGTAGAGGAAGATGGGTATTAAGAAGATGATTATGGTATTTTAGAAAAAACGTGTCATACTTCTTATAATTAACTAACTTACCTAACTTCCTTAATCTGATTAAATTAGTTAAATAGGTCTTATATTAAGAACCGAAAGAGGACATTTTTTTTTTGGTACGAAACCATCCGGTATCCGACTGCCCGATTACCTGAGCTATCGACTAATCC